AAATTTATATATTTTAGCGTCAATGGTACAGAATAATGGAGCAAATAGATTAGAATAGAATTTTCAAATAATTTTGCATTAATGGTGCAGGATAATCGAACAAATAGAACATGATTTTTTTCATTGACATGATTTTTGGGGGGAAATAGATGGCCCACTTGTTACGCATCATTGATTTTTGGGGGGAAACAGATGGCCCAATTGTTACGCATCATTTTTAATAACCAATTGCTCGGTACTAACGGTGCTACTTATTCCAAAATTATAGTCCTATCTCGATCTATTTGCTGAATTAACTTGCACCATTTGCGCTCGGATTGTTCTATATCAATGGTGGGACCAAACAAGTCTATAACGGACAAGGGGATTTTTAATCAGCATCAATTGATGCAAAAAACTCGTCAACGGACGGACGGACGGACGGACGGACAGACAAGAGGAATTCAATAGCTCCCGTGCTATGCAGGGTGAGCTAATAATTAATTAAAGATTGAAAAAGTTAGCGAATCATTATCTGAAATTCAAGATTCCAAATTTTTGCAAAGAAAAACTTTACATACATATGCAAATTTTAATTACAATTTGCAATTTTGATTTAAATTTCGACACGACTGTTTCCCATCCATATTTCATTTTTCAACCAAAATACACAATAAATACAAAGTTTAATGAGCAAATGAAATTACTCAACATCAAGTGAAGCATGAAATGAATGGAATTCAATCCGACGAACCCCTCCCACGCATTTAATGTGCACGCATTTAAGTAAAATATGCACCCCTGTAAAATTACGATGATAAAAAGGTCGGAAAACAGTGCTAAAATAATTGTATTTCTTGTCCTACGCGTTTCCCATGCAAATAATGTCCATTCATCATCAAGTCGTAGCTACATATGTAAATATGAATGTAATGCGATTCTGCAACTGAGGAGCAGAACACGTACCAAATATGACCCCCTTTTAACCTTGATTAACAATTTACTTGTGGGGTACAAGGCATGAATAAAGAATGGCTCAATTAAAACATGGAATCTAGCAGTAAATATTTTGCAAGTTTGGTGAAAATTATTGATTTTTCGCGACAGAACTTCATTCCAAAAGTGGAAATTATTTATTTTAGCTCTATGAAATTAATTTAATTACAATTTAGAAACGGTGTAAGGAAAATAATTATTCAGTTAATTCGGAAGTTTACAAATATTTAAATATTTATGAAACTAGGATTAATTTAATTTCTCAATTTATAAATCCAAGCTAAAATGATAATGGTCTTATCTTATCGCTAAATATAGCTCAGTTATTATTATCGTAAATATGTGATTATTTCTTATCATAACATAATTTAATCACTTATTTGTATAATTTACCACAATTACGTCACACCACACCAACACCAAAAAGGCTCACTTTTCACCTGGTGTCACATTACTAACCTCAAAAAATGCATCTCAAATTTTTATCCAGGACTTATACCATAAGTAAAAGATTACTACATTCATATTTAATCGCACAATTCAATGGCATCATAAAATAAATGATACCATTCTTTTATTACACCCACCCACCCACCTCTAAAAAATGCTCTACATACATACATATTTACACCCATATCTCCAGAATAATACCAAAAAAGACCTTATCTCTCCTCCTTTTTAACACGAGTACCCTCGTGTCAACTGCAATAATAAAGTCTCCCTTATTACGACTTCCTGTCCCATCCCATCACATCATAATCGCCACACGTACATAAGTATTACATTTTAGCGAAAAACGGCATGCTGCCCAACCCTTTAAAAATCTGATTGCAATCCAGCCATTAAAAAAATGAATGTGAAATGCAACTCATGCCCTCAAATGAAATGTATCTCTCTCCGTATTATTTATTTACTGTCATAAAGTAAAGCCAGCCAGCCAGCCAATTCACGATACATGCAGACACGCTTTCATACATACAGCAGCAGAGACATAACAACAACAAGGCAGCTAAAAACATTCATTAAACATGGCACTGACACAACTATAACCAACTTTTTAACCAGAACGAATGCCACACATTTTACAAGTAAAGTTTTAACCAAACATTTTTGCAGTTTGCGATGCAATGCAATCCTCCATCTTCTCGACGGAGAAGTCATTTGACATGACATTTACTCAGTTAGCAGCAGTATTTCGCCTTGCTTTTTAGCTGACAGCATAATAGCCGGCTTTTACTGGCTCGAGGTTCATTTGCATTTTTGAATTTAATAAGTCATACATTTCCACTTCTGCAGCAGTGCAGGCAGTGTACAAATGTACATAAGTGCGTTAATTTACTTGAGTGCAAACTCTGTAAGGACATTGTGTTTTTCGTGTCTGCATTTATTTATTCATCTCTGTTGCACTTGTGTTATTGAAATCTGCATCTGAATCACAGGAGCAGCAGTAGTTGCATGTGTGCAACCAATTCTCGATTTAATTGGCATTGTACAAAAATCAGGACTTTGTTATACATAAAAAAACCTGGCCCAGTAATTGCTCCAGCTCGTCTCTCACCGAAGATTGATTCTGGATTATTTAATTGTGTATTTTTTTGTCCTAAAAAGCATTGGCTGCATGCATAATAAATAAATTTCTTTCTTTCGTCGTGAGGTGAATGAAATTGAATATGATGGCGCACAATGAAATATGACTTCGGCGAAGTGCATTGTTGTTTTTTAATTTCTTAAAACAAAAAAGTTAATTAACAATGAATTGTTAATTTTTCTCTTGTGTCACAAAATATGCAGTGATGAGTGACACGTTGATGTGTTGTTTTGCTAGCTTGGAGCTCCTTCTACTGCTGCTGCCGAGTGAAGCGTGGTGTGGTTTTTTAACATATAATTTTCGCAGTTTTTTAACTACTTAATCATATTTGGTGGTGCCAAGTTGTCGCAAATTAATTTGCATGCGGAGAGAACTTTGTTTAGAAGAAAATTGAATTTGAATATTCTTTAAGAAACGTGCCCAGTTATTTTTTTTCAAATATGGCTTTGACTAAATCCAGCGTCACGAATAATTTGTAAAATCGCATAATTTTTTAATTGTTTAGTACAAAGATGCAAATAACGGGACGCCGTTAAGAAAGTTGGATGGAAACCTAAAAGTGAGCATTTCCATTTTTGGCCTGGTACAAAACGGTACAATGTCAATTAGACAAGTTTAAGTGGTGACGTGATGGAGATAAATTATTCGACAAGATTTACACCACAAGACGAACGAGTGATGAGGTGAAGAAGAATTGAATAATGGAATTGGTTAATAATAAAAGTGTCGAGGTGGACAAATTGATTTAATTGACACGCCGGGCAAAAAAAGGAGTGTGAGGAGTAAGTAAGTACTAATTTATTGAGGAAGCTTTATCAAGATGGGATTATTAGCAACAGATAATTGCTTCTCCTAATATCCACCAGTTCTAGTCGAAACTTGTAACTAAAACTTTTTCGTAATTGGCATCAAAAACTGGCAAAAATTCAGTCAAAATTTTTGTTAAAGAAAAATTCAGTCAAAATTTTTGTTAAAGAAAAATTCTTCAGAAATCCCATTTAATATTTTTGCCACGGTTTTCCAAGTGGTTTGTATAATTTTGATTTGTTACCTGTACCTGTGGCACTGACATTTATTTAAACATTTGGCATCTGCAGCTTAACTTACTTCTTGACATGTGCACTATTTTTTTCGTACATACATTTCTCTTCAATTCACTCGATCTTCTCTAAAAGCTTAAATTTATGTACAAAGATTTAACAACCAGATACGATCGATTCATGGCACAAGTATTTATGCATCTCATACTTTTCATTGTGATGGTTGGTGTGTGTCACAAGTCAAATGCAGAATAATAACGTGCCGTTGTTATTCATTTTTTTTCTACAGAGTGAATCCAATCCATCCATCAATGCAAAAACTGACATCGACATTTCCATGACATGACACTGACTTTTTAAGCAGACAGATTATTTGTTACTTTTTGACTCACTCTCATATTTACACAGCAAAAGCACATTGCTACCACTTGACGGGAACATGAAATAAAACCACTTGTGCATATGTAAAATGCGTTACTTAATAATTTACATATTTTTTTTTTTTGATATGACATCACAGATAAGGAGGCAAAAGAATACTTACAATGAGCTACACAATAACAACAATGCAAATTGTGCGTAAAATGCGTGAGGATCATGACTAAATCTCATTTTGCGTTTGCACGCATGTGAAAAATAACGGAAAATTGCATGCATTGTTGTCAAAAATATGTGGCCGATAAGAGCCAGTGACATCATCATAATCGCTTCAGATCTCAATTTAGATTTATTATCGCAGTCGCAATTTTAGCGTCAAATTACACTCACACTCAACCGTCAAACGTCTCAATTTATTGGATTCTTTTATTTGCAAAGTTGCTCAGTCATTATTGGGATCAGCAAATTTGCATACTTGCAAATGTTTATATTTTTTGTAGACAAGAATGAACAAGAGTAGTCTTGTCTGAAACAAAAGTGCAATTCAATAATTATTTGTTACGCGTTCTTGAGATAAAGTGAAATTTGGGGCAGGAAGACGACAGGGACGCTTAATAAATAATTATTTTGCATAAACTGGATTTGGTCTACTTTCAAGAAAGAAAGAAAGGCTAATCAATAATGGAATTATTGATTAATTAGCTCTAAACGTGGCCAACCTTCAATCAAATCCAATCCAAGCTACATTCATGGTTGACTAATTAATTAAATATGTTAATTACTTAATTATGCAGGAATTTAGTTACACTTTATCTCACTCTATTTTACTTATGGGTTGATTCATTAAAGGCAAAAATCAGACCAAGCTATTCCTACATTCAATGTGTAAAATCTATAAAAAAAATGAAAAATAATGAAAAATAATATATCTAATTAATTCAAACATTTAATTCTTACATAAAATTTTAATTTTTGCGTCGTACAAATCATTCAAAATTGTCATTTTTTATACCTTGCAGAATAAAAAATTGCCTCAAAAACGTCCCACGCGGAAGAATGAGGACGAAAAGTGGGAAATTTAGCAGCCAAGGTGGGCCATATTTCCCGTCAATATGAGGATGCGGCGACCACACCCACCCTTAATCCCTGCGGTGGCGGTGGTGGTTGCCATCATCCCGTGCTGGCTCCTCATCATCGTCACTGCCGCCACCACCACCACGACCGGAAGTGGACATAGCAAGGGACCACTCCGCGATGGTGAGGGCAGCGTAAAGGACGACATCAAAGATTTCAAATTCACACAGCCCTCGTACAATGCCACCGTTCCGGAAAATTCGCTCGGATCCACACTCATCTTACCGTACACGGGGGAACAGATTTTCACGGGTGGAAAGGTTAGTTGGAGATTTTTTTTTAAAATTTATGTAAGAAAAATGTGTCAATTTTTCGAAAAAAAACTTTCAGAATCCTTCATCATCATCTACCGGTCCCCAACTAAAAATGGGCGTGTGGAACCCTACCAAACGACCCGTCCATTACAGCATAACATCCGGCGATACCTATTCCATGTTCCGGTCTGAATCCTTGCAAATTGGAGATTTTAACTTTCTCATTTTACGGGTCCGAAATAATGATCGAATTTTAAATCGGTAATTTTTTAAAACTTTAAAAATTATAGCGCACTCTTCTTAAATTATAACACATTTTTCTCCCACTATGTAAATCCAGTGAATTCAAAGAATGGTACAAACTCGGCGTAAAAGCAGATCTGTTGGATCACCACCACCCCAAACAATATTTCAATAATGCCTCACTCGCCAAAGCTTTCCCACTCGTGGGGTCGTCGTCAGACTTGCTGTTTGAGGAGGAAGGAGAGCATGAGACTGAACCCCCTCCAGACCAAAGTCAACCCCAACCACCCCCAGCCACCAAGATGTTCATCATATCTGAGGAAGTCCTACTACCACCGCCAGACAAAAGCAGCCCTTTCGGAGACGACACTTCGCTCCGAGACCCATTTAGTTTAGTCCAGGATGCAAACAGTGTCGGTGTCAGTGGTGGTAAAAATAAGAAGAATAATAGCAAAGTGTCGAGGAGAACTACTAAACAGAAGAGAGACGATGATGTGAACAGTGACGATATTTTTAGTGGTGGTGGTGGTCGTCGTGGGGGCAGGGGGAGAAAGAGAAACGGAAGTAGCCGGATAGAAAGTGAAACCGACTCTTTCGACACGACCCTTTTTCCCCCCTTGAGACGAACTCTGAGAGACGAAAAACTCAAGAAAACGAGCTTCACTCCGAGTAATGTGACGCGATCCGGTGGGGGCAAGCCTAACCGGGTGCGTGGTGGGAGTGGTGGTGGTGGTGCTGGGAGACGTCGGAATAAAAACCGACCCTCATCATCCCAGGAAATAAATGAGATTAACGTGGATGTCGACATGGTGAAGAGTGTAACTGTTAGAACTACGAGTAACAATGTGCCAAGTTATAATAAACGAGTGACAACGACAATGACCACGACGCCAACGACGACCACAACGACGACCAAACGTCCAAAGATGATGGTGGCGCAGCAACAGGACAAAAATGGCGGAATTATTTTGACCAGTGCGGAAACGACAGTTTTCGTGAGAGTGATTGATGTCGATGACAATCAGGTAGGAGAGAATGGTTCATTATTATGTAATCAGATGAGATCTTCTTTTTTATGATTTATTTTGGTCGTGTTACACTTTCAATGTTATCTTTGATAAATATTTGCAACGTGCGAATATCAAGGTGGCTTATTTTTTTTGCACATTTCTCAATTTTCTATTTTTTCAATGAGTTTTTTTGCAAACCTACCAAAATTGGATTTCTACTGCAAAATCCTGCTACAACTGCCCTCTCCTCTTTAAGAAGTTTTAAGCACTTGAATCCGAAAAAAGTAGAAAAAGTAGCTTAATGCGTTTGGCACATTTCAAAGTGAAATAAGCCAAGCTGAAAATATGTCAATTCTGTTACGAGAATACTAATATTACATAATTTTCGTCTGGCCAACACAAACTTTTGCTTGCACTGCTCTTGAGTTCGGTCCAGTCCAGTTTTTGTGCCAATAAGTAATAACGTAATGGAGCATATTTTTAGGGCAAGAAGAAGAGCTTTACCTTGTTCTCCTTTCGTAAGTATTTATGAGCGGATGTGGACGTCGTGGTCGTGGTTTGTCTGCTGGAGAGAAGAAGAAAGTTCTTCTTCTTTTCTTCTTCCAGGAGAAAGTTGAGTGTCAATATTTACATTTCGTATCCACTCCTCTTCTCCGTAACGGGAGAGGAGGAGACAACAACTTTTCCCTATATTTCACTCTCACCCGACTTTCACCAAGGAGAAGATTATCTTTCTCAGAGAGAGAAAAAACACGGGATGCATGTACATACATATGGCTCATGTTCAGATTTGGTCGCAATTTTACAGAAAATGAGGCTTACAGGTTTTGGACGAGTTGAACGCCAAGTTTATTATTCGTAGAACATTTGGTTATGAAACTAAAATTATAGATATTCCAACTGGAATTTTTTGACACAATCGAATCCACAAAATTCTTTACAAATTGCGTGAATTTTTAAATTATTTAATTTCGTTGATTAAGTTTTGTTAATCAATTCTTTTGTACAGATTTTGTGTCAATTTTACAGAAAGTGTAGCTTAGAAATGTTTGCACGGTTGAACGCCAATTTTATTTTCTTGGAGTAAATGCAATTATAAAAATAAAAGTACAGACAGATGCACGAAAGCCGCTTTATTAGTTGACACAACTCGAGTACATACTACTAACAAATTTCCTGATTTTCTAAATTATTTTATTTCTCGTATTAATTCTTCTTGAAATTAATTTTTTGCCAATATTTATGAACGCCTGTCATCCATTATCTCTTCATGTATGAGGTTAAACGCTTCTATTGTTCGCCACTTTGTTTCTCTGCTGAGTTGACTTTTTCTTTTTGTACTTTCTTTTGTCTACAGTTGTGCAAAAAGTCCATTTTCCACCATCATTTCTTATCTATCTCTCCACCTCCACCACTTTTACTCATACACAAGAATAAACTCGCTGTTTTATTGTTTCCTTCATTTATCCAGTCCAACCCATTCACTTTGCATTGTCATTTTTGCTTCGTCTTCGCCAAAATAATGATAATAATAAATGCATACAAATTTCGCAAATCTTGTTGTGCAAAATGTGTCCCCGTTTATTTATCTCGTTTCGAAATAATGAATGTCAAGAACACAACAAGGTGGAAAATAAATGAGTAATATAAACAAACCTGGCAAAAAGTCCTCCTGCCGTGAGTGACCATGGACAGGAAATAGTTTTCCTTTTCACCAAGTCTACGCAATTTCCTTCACATTGTAAATGTAAATTTATGTTAATAAATTATGTATCTAACAGTCATTTTTTTCTCTTTTTCACAGCCCGTCTTTGAAAGCCAAACGTACGACATCGGGGTCAACGAGGATGCCCCGATTTTATCCAAAGTTGCCAAAATATCCGCCGCAGATGCAGATATTGGGAGAAATTCAGAAATTTATTACAGGTAAAAATAAAATAATAAATCTGTTGTTCAAACATTTCGAGGGAAAGTTAAATATTGGAAAATTATATATTCTCGCGATTTATTTATTTTTATGTAAATTTTGATTTCGGTTTCGAGAATTATGTAAATTTCCGAAACCTTGTGGGTGACCCATTAGTAAAATCTGCGTAAGTCTCTCTCTCTGATTTAATAAGTTGGATGGAATCAACTCACCTTCACTTCCTGCGCTCTTCTCGCATCCACATTTCTCTCTCTGACAATTCCATTATTGCGGAAAGTATGCAAAGTGCAAGGCTAAATCTCTCGAGTACATTTTACCATTTATTCGAATTTCTCTCCGAAAGACTTGACTTTTGGTGGTGGCGACGACTCATCTGCCGCATCTTCCTCCCCCACTCGACGCTGACTCTTTAATCCATTTATTCTTCTTCTCCTTCATATTTCTTAAGGAAGGTTAGCTCTTTAGAGTTGAGTCATAAATCATTTGCATAAGTAAATAACTCACACTACAGGTTCTAGCTGTCGTCACTTTATATTGTATTTCACCTCTCGCACTATCCTCTTCTCACCCTCGACCCTTTTTCGATCCACGTCTTAATTGTTCATCCACCAATCCAAAATCCAACCAACAACAAAGTTCATCATCATTACGACGAAAAGTCTGGTTGATCTACGGTATAAAACGCACGTATAAAATACATAATTAAGTTTTGCAGCTAGTTATCAACAACCCAATCTCTCGCCGTTTAGGTCGTCATCCTTGCTTTATTTTGTTTTGTGCAGAGTTATTATTCAAAATTGAGAAGTTGAGCGAGCGGCCCCATAATTCAAAAGCCTACGTGGACGTGACGATGTTTCACCATTATGCAATTTTACCCCTGATAAATGATGACTTTCTTCGCATACCATTTCATAATTATTACGTAACGCGTGTAATGAAAGGTGGCAGAATTGGGTAAATTATAGGACACCCCTTTAATTTAATTCTGCTAGAGGCACAACCAACGACCACTTATTCTCGGCTGGAAGGCGTCCTCTCATCGCATGAATTAAATTAATGTTCGTCTTCTTCTTCCAAGAATCCATCCAATCTTTCCGCAGCCGTAAAAGCAGGACTTGATTCTTTTTAGTGAACGTCTTCTCTTCATCACGTTCCCACTTCATCCTAAATACGAAACAATCATCAATAAATCTCTGTTGTGAGAGAGAATAATACAGCTCCATCCAAAAAGTTGGAGTTGAGAGTTGAGCACACCACTTTCTCGTTGTGCCAGAGACTTTATGGCTGCAGGTGTGGATTGGATTGTAAATACCATTCAAAGAAACGAGTCTTAAAATCGTTACCCTTTTGGCGTTAGTGGTGGTGGTGAGGGGAATGTTGTTAAGATAAGAGTTCCGGTTTCTCCACTGCTGGATGGATTAGTTTTATGGGGGCAATTGTCTGGCAAATATTTGATTAATATTCATTCATTCATTCATTCATCCACGGCCATGCACCAAGTATAATCCATCTACCTCAAATACACGGGAGAGAGAGAGAGAGCCTACTTGTCACTGGTAGAGTGTGGGTGCCGAAGAAAGTGGAAAAGTTTTGGTCGGAATGAATAATTAAGGGAGAAAAAGAGAAGGTGTTGGGTGGATGATGGTTAGAAAATGGGGGAATCGATCATATAATGAAAATCTAATTTTAATCCTTTGTTCTTTATCGGGGTGATATTATTTACGACTTATGCATTTTTCGTCTTTTTGCTACTGGAAATCTTTGAAAGTTGGTGTGTTAAAGGACACACAACGATCTGAAAATCGGGTGGACTCATAGAATAATATATTTATGATAGCAAATTTAAAACAGTAGAAAAATTCCAGATGCAAATTTATATTCGTAGAATGTTTCTAATTTATGTAAGCAAGTGTTTTTGCAACTCGTCGGCTTCGAAATTATTTAATTAACCACATATTTAGATATCTAAAATAAATGCAGGAAATTTGACCTTCGGTCTGTTTCAAAATTAAAAATTACCAACTTTTCAAATTCGGCATTTTTGCTCAACAAACTATGAAATTTATGATGTATTCCGTTACAAATTTTGTTTACTACTCAAAAGCTTTGCCAATATGATATCGGCTCTAAAAAATTTCATGAGGATTTACAAATCACATTTTTCCAGCATATTTCCCCGCAATGTGACACACTTGTAAAGCTAACTTTCTATTTTACTCACTACTTTATTTACAAATGGAGCCTTTAACAACAAGCAATATGAATAAACTAGACCAATCCTTAGCATAAAAAGGGGTAAATGTCAACCTATAAATGTTCAATTCAATTATTGACGGTTAGTGGCTCTGCTGAATAATGGCTATTGAAAGTGTTACTGCCACACAAAATGACTCGTGTTAGGTTTCATTAGCCATTTTATTTAATTTTATTGACAATTCCACTACAAATTGAACCCAAGATCGAATCATGCACGTACAGAATTTGTTACTGCAAGTGTTTTACAAAGTTCGTGTTCTCGTCGAAATGCAACATAGTAAAATTAATTGAAACTTATTTCTTTGCTCGAACTAGTATATTCTTTTAAATTTGGGTAAAAATCTTGACGAAATTCATGCAAATTTTTGCGAAAAGTTCAAATCAGAAAACTTTATATTTTTTGTCCTTGATTTTCCAGTTTATCCGAGTGGTCCAACTCTTGGAGTATCGATCCCATCACGGGCATCCTGTCTCCTACACGTCCCCTCCTCGGCCGCACCGGAAAGGGCGACCGCGACCGTGAGACAATCCATATCAGGGCGAAAAACAGGTGGAACATGACCCCAACTTCTGGCTCCATCGCCGCCGTGAACATCCACATTCGTCCCGTCAATAGATACGCGCCACAAATCCGTGTTAATCGTCCTCCTCAGGTGAAAAACAATTATTTATGCAGATCCACAATTTCAGGCAAATTCTTCGAGAGAAAAGACTGACAATATTTTTTGCTGCCTCCTCAGGTCGAAGTTCGCCCGTATGGCGTAATTTACGCCGTCGTCTCAATCCGCGACGCCGACGAGGGAGAAAATGGCGTTGTCGATCTCGAAATAAAAGAAGGCGACCCCAACGGAATATTCCGCATTACACCGACATCCTCCCGGAATGAGTTTTACGTCGAAATGTCGCCAATTATTGCAACCAATTTGGGTAAAATTGAACGTCTTCATCAATTCAATTTAACCTTACGAGCAACAGATCGTGGATCACCGGCTAAAAGTTCTGAAAAGGTGAGTAAAAAAAATCTATCCTATTTTTTCTCTTAATTTTTTTCCTTCTCATCTGTCCGGGTGAAAGTAAAATTGGTGGCCCCGTAATAAAAAAAATGTAGCCAACCACTCATTCATCCGTCCATCCACGAACCTGAAATCTACAATTGAACCGTGTTACATCCGGTTTAATGATTATTTCCGGTCCCTAAAGACCTCTCGGTGGATTGGATTGGAAAGGAGAAAAATCATCGATTTTCACCAAAGAGAAAGTAATGTGGGAAAGAAAGTAACAGCTTTTTTTCTCTTGTGCTTTACACACTGAAATCAAATCTTGGTCCAATTTCTGGTCGGTCGCTTGTCGTCACAATCAAAATCTTTGACTTTCCCTTGTCTCTCTCCTCTTTTTTTTAAAGAACGAGAGAAAATCCAAAATTTAAAGGGCTTAACAAACTTTTATACGCTTAAAACTTGAACTTTCATCCCAAAAACTTTACAGAGTCGATGAGACTTAAAAATTAAAACTTTCCCCAACAACTAAAAGTAGAACTCAAAGACGAGAACAATTACGAAAGCCCTTCTTTGTTCATCCTCTACAGTGTCCACCCACCCAAAATAAGGGTCAATCTATCCGATTAGATTCTCTATTCTTAACGGAAGAAATAGCCATTTAATGCTTGGAGAAAGTCGGAAGAGAAAGGTTGACAAGTGACACTTTTTTTGGTGTATGAACCCACCCTTTGAATCTGCCTTCTCCTTTATCCACTTCCGTTCCTCAGAAAAAATGATCTCTTCCCCCACACAATATTTTGTCCACTTGCTTTCTCTTCCTGTCCCATATTTGAAACGTACCTATGTTTGAGTTACAAAGTTCAGATTGGAATTGGTTTGTGCGGGTGGTTTGGTTAGCCGTAAAGTAAGTAGTAAATAAATCCCTGTGTGTGTAGACCGAGGGGAGAAAGCAAGTGAGTAAAGTAAAGCTTTGTTGCTTGCTTGCTTGGTTTGCTTTCGCTCCACGGCGAAACTGTGTGGTTGGGGTTTTGTACGAGCTTAAATCAGAAAAGGAAGTTATTCACTTTGATTTATTTGTGCGAAACCTATTCTTCTTTCTTGTTTCGAAAAGAAGAAGAAATAACCCGCCCGCATACGCCACCACCACCACGACAAAGAAGTGGAGGAGAAAGTAGGGAGAAAAGAAGTGCGATAAGTTCAAAATGTAGCAAACAAAAGTATATACTCCACTTCAACTTCATTCAATTCATTCTTCAAGGTCCACTTTATTTTACTTTCTCCAATGGACCCGACTTTCTCCACCGCTCACACGGGAGAAATATGCTCCACATTATTGTTATAAAACACTTTGTTGTCGGTTGAACTACAAGTCGTTTCGTAATCGGAATGGATGTTGGGTTGGTGTCTCGTCCTGTTACGTAAGAAGAACGGGGAACCTTCTCTTTACTTTCACCCGAAATTCGAAGAGGAAACAATCGCCTTTTTTTAAAGGGTCGATTCCAATTCAAAGAACGGCGTTTTTATTTGAGATTGAAAATTCTTTACCACCTTTTCTGATCTAATGCGTATTGTCATTTTTTGTAGGAACTCCAAGTTCGCGTGGCGGACACGATCTGGTCGGAAAAAGGGGGAGAAAATACGGCCATTTTTGATAAGGATGTGTACGAAGTGGAAATCTCGGAAACAACGAGTCCACCGCATTCCGTTGTTTTCAGGTGGGTCTCATACTCATTGTTGGTCATTTAGATCTGTAATCAATTAGGATGACATATATTTATAACGCCTATTATGCAGACTGAACCGACCAAATTCCGCTGTCGGACTGTCCATCTCGAGTGGAAATGAGGGTGACGATTTCGTCCTTGAAGAGAAAAGCGGGGTCCTTTATACGAATAAGTGGTTGGACGCGGAGACCAAATCGACCTACACGTTGACCATAGATTCACACGACAGGAGGCCTGCATCTCAACAGCAGAGGAGTGGCGACTACTACAGGAGGAGACAATCCGTGGCCAAAATCATTGTCAAAGTTATCGACGGTAAGAATATTTTTCCATATGAAAATCTCCCTTCTGCACAAGGTCAGCCTTATAAATTATGTTAATTAAGTAGTATGACCAAGAACTTACTTTCACGTGTAAAACTTTCTCCACAAAGTTCTCTTTTGATCGCCTGCAGGGAACGACAACTCCCCCGAGTGGGAACCCATGCCAAATAACAGGTCTATTTTTACCGTCATGGAGAATGAGGCTGTCGGGACGAAAGTGACAAGGATTGTGGGTAAGAAACTAATTTCAATTTATTTATAAGTTATAACAGACATTTATTCAGGCAAGAGACACATCCTTTAATTTCATCAATTTATTATGTTGTTGTTGAAGCGTTTAAATGTATTATGTTTAATGTTTAATTGTAGCCAAGGACCGTGACTCGGGAGAAAATGGGTAAGCCCACCACCACCAACTTTTCATTACATTGTACTCCCTCATTTCCGCCTCTTTTCTCAATGAATGCACTGCACTCCTTTCACCGAAATAAATATATTTCTGTGCGTAAGTATGCGTGCATCGTGGTTAAGTGGTTTAAATTATTACAATTTTGAGCGATTTTCCTCTCCTGGACTTTCCCCGGGTTCATTCAACTTGGAGCATAATGAAACTATAAACAATTACGTAACGCACCGAAATCTGGGGAACTTTACCTCACGCCGCGACCATCACTTCACCACCACCACGACGGCCAAAGCTGTATAAAAGCGCAGTTGGGGTTTATTTTATTTTACGGACTCATTAGTGAATAGACGATGATGAACTTTCCCACTTCTTCCATAAGAAGAAGAAGAAGGAGTGCAGTTGAAGGAGAGAAAGGCTGCTCGTCAGAGTCATCACATTTTAAAGTGTCCTTAATTCTCTCACGCTTTCTCTCTGTTTGGTCGGAATAAATGCTCAATTTAAGATTATTGCCCCCTTCAGTGCAATTTACATTAAAGATTCCAAACTGGTACAATAGCTTTCAGAGGGAACAATGTACAGTGTGTGTGCATAGGTTCGTCTCTATCGTGGTGGTTAAAGTGCTTCGGAGAGATTAGGCAATTTAACGATTCAGTGAATGGGCAATTGACCACGACAGAGAAACGAAAGAACTTGATGCACAATGCATACAGGGTAAAAGCAACCATTTTGAAGTAATAATGACGAAATGACGATGAGAACGACGACGCCACGCGGAAAATAATAAGAGCGAAGTCGAGTTTCCGTGCTCTATAAATTATTTGGAGAATGGAATGATTTCTTGATATGGCAAAAATTGTCTCAATTTCCCCCCGCAGACTAACTTTTTGCTCACTTCTTATATAACTTTCTCTCTTTTTCCCTCATTTTCAGCTACGTAACCTACAGCATCGCCAACTTAAAACCGACCCCTTTCACCATTGACCACTTTTCCGGTGATATTCGCACTGGTCGTCTCCTCGACTATGAAATTGACCGGAGAGAGTTCAGTCTAAAGATTCGTGCGTCCGATTGGGGCCAACCGTCCCGTCGTCAGAGTGAGAAAGTAATGACGATAATGTTGAAGGACGTCAACGACAACCGACCACTCTTCACGGTGAAGGAATGCGTCGCCATAATCGACAAGGGGATCAAATTCGAGACTGAAATTGGGAGGGTGGAAGCCATCGATTTCGATCGGGAGGATGTCGTCATGTACAGAATTGTTGGGGGGAATGAGGACGCTTGTTTTGGAATTGATACCACAAGTGGGAAGATTAAGGTGAGATTTTAAACGGTGACCCCACAATTAAAAGGGCGCCATCTTTACACATTTTTTTTCCAGGTGGTCTGTGATCTCCGCGATGTCCGCGTCCCCAAACGTTTCCTTAACGTTACCGCCACCGATGGCGAATACTACTCGGACGTCATGTCGATCAAAGTTGAACTTGGTGGCGAAGGTCGGATGACCCATCTCAAAGTGAATCGAACCACACCTCCGTCCGAAAATGGTTCTTCGTCATCTTCATCATCACCTCGATCCGGGATCAAATTATTCTCCACGGCAAATTCCGTTTTCGAATGTGAGGACACCGGAGTTCGAGAGAGATTCGACCAAATGGCGGCCCTCAGTGAGAAAAATAATCAGTTTGAGGATGGCGAGGAAGGCTTCCCCCCACTCCCGTCGAGATACCGGGACAACGTCCACACCCCGCAGTGGATCGATGTGCCAAAAGAAATCTCGGTAAAAAATATACTATTCTTCTTTTTTCCACAATTTCAAAATTATTGCATATTTTTGGCCAGCCATATTTATTTATTTTGCAAAAAAGGAAGTCGTTAGATTCATTATTGTTTGCCCCACTTTCACGATGGCTATAACTTTTGGGTGATTTGAAAAGTCTGAATTTTCCTCGTAATGGAATACGTAGCTGTTATTTATTTTTGTTATTGTGCGCCACCGGGTGTCCCAAATTTCTCGTCGTAATAATGACCATCGTAATGCGAAGTTTGGAGAGTTTTTACTTCTGCCGTGTGGCCTGGTCTGATCATATAAATCGATCCATTCATTTTATGTGAGGCCAATTCAACTAAATTGATATCCAGGTCCGAACATATTGTTTTGTCCGTCAGAAGTGGAGTTGAGTGGAATTTACGTTCACCTTGGATTTTGTTTGGATTTGGAAGAGAGAAAATGGAACAAATCAAACTTGACTCGTTTTCAGATCAGAGAAAGTGGTTTAGTTTTTGACTCTAGATTTTGCTGATTCATCTCCGTTCTGTAATTCTGGTCTGACTGAATTTCGCTCACAGTTTGACCCACTCGATCTACCACTTCTCATTTTGTCGTCGTCGTCTAGCCGCTTTTCCAGGGAGATGACTACGTAGAAAGGAAGTTGAACTGATGAGGTTTCACCGCCACGCTGAACCAAATCTAGTCCAGATGTGGGAAATGTTCAGCTAAAAGTGAAAGTTGTGGAGAAAGCAGAAATTATTATTATACTTCTCAAAGTGCGGCTTGAATTGTCCAAGTTCTCGAATTAATATTGAATTTCATCTCCTTCTCTGATATGATTTATGGGCAAACTTTGCGAAAATTACAGGCTCAAAATGTGCAATTATTTCGCAATGATTTTTTTCAACAAGTTAATTTCATTTGATTTCATTGGTATTTATTCATGTAGGTTTTCGAAAACACGTCGGTGGGGGTGACCGTGCTAAAATTGCGTGCTCGTGACCTCGACAAGGGTTACAATGGCCTCCTCACGTTCGTCATCTCGTCCGGCGATGAGGCTCACGGTGCTTGGGACATAGTCAACCCGACCGGAAGTCAGGATTCTGACGAGGGAGATCTCGCCCATCTTGTCGTTGCCGCACCGCTGGATCGGGAACAAGTTTCGTCCTACATGCTCAATATTAGTGTCTGGGATCAGGGCAAACCTTCCAAAGTGTCTTCCAAACTACTTTTTGTTAAGGTTTGCAAAAATACTTTTGGAAACCTCTGGAAAATGAAAATTCCATAATTTCGGGAAATTCTTGACACATACTTTCCCCTCTTAGGTCCAAGATTCCAACGACTGCCGACCGACTTTCACCAAGGCGGCGACCAAGTTGAAGATTGGGGAGGGTGGAGCCCTCGTCGGGGAGCAATTAGTCGGTCTCTCCGCGTTCGATGAGGACGAAGAAGGGACGCCCAACTCGTTAATATCGTATCGACTCTTGTCGCCCACGGAGGATTTCGCGATAGACGAAAAATTGGGGACGATACGACTCCTTCGCGAGTTGGATAGAGAAAGACAAGACTTTTACGAGCTTTTGGTGGCCGCGGAGGATCACGGCGTCCCAAAATTGTCCAGCATTGCGGTTGTATCCATACAAGTGGAAGATGTTAATGATTGTGCGCCGCGATTTGAATCTTTTGCGTCCATGTCGTCTCACTCGTCGTCATCAAGGATCGTGTCCGTCCTGGAAGACTGGCCGGTGGGTGGGGTTGTGACGCAGGTAAGTGTTTAAATAACGTATGTAGCAGAATGCAAAATATTCACCAAATAAATGATGCATTGACACAGGTGCTGGCACGAGACGATGATTTGGGGCTGGGGGGTAACGTGAGATACGCCTTGGTCGGTGGGGTCGGTGAGGAGGAGGACTTCGAGCTGGACGAAGTTTCGGGGGTGTTAAGGGTCAAGAGAGAGCTGGACTATGAGACGACCTCCATTTACAACTTGACCATTAGAGCACACGACATGGGGACGCCTTCTCTTTCGTCCGAGACATTTATTGTGGTTGAGGTAAGACCATTTGTTTTGTTTTTCACGTTTCTAGACTTTCTACGATAATTATACATCATAAAATTCAAAAAGCTTTGATCTTTTTACTGAATTTTTCTCACAATCTCCAGATTTTTATCATTTTTAAATCGATATGAAAAAGTTTCCACAATACATTCTCTAATTCTTCCTCAAATCTCATACTCATCAGTCGTCAGAGAAAGTTTAGTCTCTGCAGGTCTATTCACCCTACTTTGAGCTGCATCCTTACGTCACAGGGTTAAAGTTTGCATACTTAAAATCACCAACACACACAATCCATCCATCTCCCACGCTACATTTCCCACGACGAACAAACAATCTAAACCACAACTACAAAGGAAGTTGTCTTCGTTAGTCTCTCTCTCTTGCATCATCCATCCCAACTATCTCACCATCTCTACACCTTCTCCCCATTTCCGGTGCAACAGGATGATGCCAAACTTACACTACAACTCCAAACTTGCGTTTCCCTCTCTCCAACCAAATGCATACATAAATCTTTACAACAAATCTCTGAATAGAAAATCAGCCTACAACTGAAACTGCATAAAACGGGAAATTAAAACAACTTGGTCCCAAATATTTTGTGGAGGGGCTTTCATGTGACCCTTCCCGGCGTCACTCCAAGTAAGCAATTCTGTTTAGGGGTCTCAATCTATGGGGGAAATAGGATCAAAATATGAAGAGATTGGAAGAGTGGAATTGGGGGCTTAAAGTAGCCGAGAAAGTTTACAGTTTTGATTTTGAACTTTGTGGGACAAAGGCGAGACTAAATACCGAGTAAATCCTATTCCTCATGCTTGACGAGTGTAGTACGAGTGAAAGTGAAAGTAGAAGGGGAAGAAACAACAAGTTATGATGAATTGAAATGCAAGGTGCAGCCGGGACTCGCTTTCTTTTCTTTCTTTCCTCCTTCCTCTTTACGTAAAGTTGGGTGGTTTTGGTTAGTAGTTCTTGATTCCACCTGTTTTCCCAAGAGTCAAACTTTTAATTAGCTTAAGTAGCCAAGAAACTTTGAGAGAGGGGAAGGAAGTCAAAGTTTTTCGAGAGCGTGGTTTTCACCGTGGTTTGGTGGATGGATGGAAGTAAAATTTGGTGACTTTTCAAGTTCCGTTAAGTAATTAGGTAATGATGGAATGTACAAGGAAATGTTGGCTAATTAAGAAATAATTAATTAACCCGGATATGCAAAATTCGTAGTGTTTTTCTTTGGTCTGTCTTACACAGAAGAAGTTGAACATTCTCTTACAGGCTTTGTTTGTTAAAAGTTTGATGCATAACAAATTAGGAAAATTGTTGAGAGGTTTTTCATATTTTAAAATTTTTTGTAGTTTTTCAGAGTCGAATTATTAAATATTTTTTGTGTTATGCAAATACTCTGAATGGAAATTAGATACGACATGCATATGGTTGTATGTAGGTTCTTGTCGTTCTCGAGTCTTAATTCTCAATGTTTTTGTTTAGCGTTTTTTACAGGAGTTCATATTAATTTGCAGGGTTTGATTGTTACAAATTAGGGAAATTGTTGACAGACTTTTCAGATAGTTTTTTGTTTAATTTTTAAATTTCAAAGTCGAATTATTATTTTTTGTGTTGTGCAAATATTCCAAAAACATAAAAGATATAACTTTCTTCCGTAGCCGTAGGTTCTTGACGTTCTCGAGTCCGAGTCTTAATTCTCAATGTTTTAGAGTCTTTTACAGAAGTTCATATTAATTTACAGGGTTTGACTGTTACAAATTAGGAAAATTGTTGACAGAGTTTTCATATATATTTTTTTTTAATTTTTAAATTTCAAAGTCGAATGATTATTTATTGTCTTGTGCAAATATTCCGAAAACATAGAAGATATAACTTCTTTCTTCCATAGGTTCTCGACGTTCTCGAGTCCTCCACATCCATATCTTTCTCGGAAGTCGCGAAGGAGACCTCCCTCCCAGAAACTACGCCGGTCGGATCCTTAATCACCCGGGTAGAACTGACTCCTTCCTCCGCCCTGGAACACTCTCTAGTCACCCTCACCCTCGAGGGCCCTTCTCGCTACTTGTTCACGATTGACGAGACCGGCTCTGTCCGAACGGGCCACACCCTCGACTACGAGACACACCCGTCTCACTGGCTCGCCATTCTCGCGAAAAGCGTGTCCAGTGGGAAAACTCTGGCAAAAATGGATCTCTTCGTCAACGTGACGGATACTAATGAATGCGTGCCTTTAACGACTGAACCGGCGTACAGGTAAGGGTTTCAAAGCTCGTAATGAAGGTGTCCCAACGTGTGCTGTCGGATTTTGGCCAAATTAGTGTCCATAAATCACCAATTTAATTAATATGAAATTTGCAAAATACATTATCTGCCAAGTTTGGCGGAGATATTTACATTGGAAGAGGAGAAAACGGGCCCCAAAGTTGAAAAATTTTACACTTTCCAAATTTGTTGTGCGTTTTCTCCTCTTCGGATGCAAATATCTCTGCCAAACGTGACCATTTGGAGATAATGTCTTTTGTAAATGTCATACTAATTAAATTTGCGATCGGTTGAGACTAATTTCATCAAAATCGGAGAGCATACGCTGGGAGACCTCCATAGTTAATACCACTTCCGGGCTAACTTTCTGCCCCCACTTTACACAGAGTATACCTCTCCGAGAACACCCCACCGAGTCACATCTTCCTAAAATTATCCGCCTTCGACTGCGACCCTTCCGGCCGATTGACCTACTCGCTGAAAACATCAACCCCTTATTTCGACATTGACCCGACTTCCGGTGAACTGGAAACGACCGACATGGTTCTTGACCGGGAGAAACAACCCGTCCACATTTTTGACGTTATTGTCACCGATGGTGGCGATCCCCGACTTAATTCAAGCACTCAAATCGTCGTCGTTCTGCGCGACGAGAATGATAATTCGCCCCGATTTTTGCACAAACGTGGCATTCACACCATTCCCGAGTTGACGATTGACCTCCAAGGTGACCAGCCCACGTCGGGTAAGAAAAAAATGCACCCAAGTGACTCCAGTGCCGGGCTGAGCGAGGAGGACGAGGACGAAGACGAAGAAGACGACGAGGACTCGGAAGATGACGACGAAGAGTTGAAATGGTCCGATTGGAATGTGATTGAGGAGCAAGATGGCATGTTTAGTGAGGGGGGCGGTTGGAAAAAAATATTTCAGGTGAGCAAAATTTCCATTTAAATTTGCATTTATCTAGCAAAATTGAAATGCATTTTCAAGATTTGCAATACTTTATAACATTTGTGGTACTAGGACTCCGTTAATAATTTATGATTTTGATAATTTATTTAGATTTTTTCTATCGATATCGCATGTAGTAGATTTTTGCAAATGATGCTTGTTTGCAAAAAAATAAAATTTATTCTAAAAACATTCCTAAAAAAACATCAAAATCCCGCTCTATTTATAAATTATAATGTTAATAATTCCATTTTTCCAATTCCCAGGTCGTCGCCTTCGACAGTGACGAAGGTGTCAACGGTTCCGTCACGTACCGTCTCAAATACCGCGTGAGTACGAGCATAAACCAGGTCGGGGTGGATGGCGCGACCCCGCCGCACCCACAACAAGCGCAACAAGCGGTCCACAAGGAGGACGAGGTGTACTCGATAAATCCCACGACGGGGGAAATCTTCACGTCCGCTCCGCTCATTAAGAGCGACACGATGCTCAAGTTCATCGTGGAAGCGACGGACGGGGGCAACCCGGCACAAAGCACGGAAACCACGCTTATCTTACGAGTCAAGGGGATCAACAGGGTCAAGTCACAACCACCACAAATACTTATACAAGGTAAGCTAATAAATAGCAATTTTTAATAATATGCGTAAATGTGGGAAATTAGTTGGAAATTCGAAGAAAAAGACTTTATTTTCTCGAGCTTTATAGAATTTATGAATAACTTGAAATAGTTTTGAAATTTTGGTTAAATTAAGTTTAGTAAAATTTTGCTAAATATTTTTTTTTTACATTTTTTTTCAAAATGTGAAATGATAACGCCGAAATAAAAATTTTCCAAAATTATTCATTAAAATTATGAAATATAGATTGAACAACTTTGTTTTGAAGCTTTCGGGTGGTATCTAGTTTGCACTAATTTTCTAGAATTTATGAAAAAATTGAATCGTTTTGAAATTTTGGTTAAATTAAGTTTAGTAAATTTTACTAAATACATTTTTTATAAATAAAAATAAATACTAAATATTTTTTGCGCAATGATCAAGTCGAAATAAAATCTTGCAAAATTATTCATTAAAATTAAACAAAAAGATATTTAACAATTTGCATTGCCAAAAAATTTTACCCAAATTAAAAATTTCAGACGAAACGGTCATCCAACTCACCACGAAGGAACGTGCGGGTTACTCGGTCGAAACAATTGATGCCATCGATCCCGAGGGGGAGCAATTATGGTACGAAATCGTATCAGGCGATCCCTCCCAATACTTTATAATGTGGCCGGAATCCCAGAATTTAATCCTGGCCAAGCGAATCCCCAAACCCATGGATTTCAAGCTCAACATCAGCGTCTCGGACGGCGTCAACCCCGTATTTGTCCAGGTATGCAAAAAGTCAATATGTGTATATCATTAATTTCGTCACAAAATCCCGTCGTGTTACACAAGTCGTCGCAAAATCAAACAAATTACTCTCTTTTCATCCTCATCATGATCATTAATTCGCGAATTAATTACTCAACTGCGTAGTATTTAGCACATACAAACGCCCGCCCATCCACCTACCTACGTATTCGTTAACGTGAAATCTTTTCATTACTTAATTAGACTTACCCACGACAAACATGGTGGTCCTTTGAAATTGTAAACTTTGAAGTTTAATTTGCTCACATTTTCCTCCTGCTTCCATGTCATCTCATCTGTCATCATCATCATCATCATCATTTCATCCATGATCGACTTCACGAACTCGCCTACGCAGCTAGAAAATCCGCCACATATAAATAAATACCCAAGGATAGAATTCCATCGCAGTGTTGGTTCCTGTTGCCTCTTCTTCCTCTTTGTTTTTGCACTGTTTTGCACACCCAGTGCCCACGAACCGACCGAGTTCAATGGAACGAAATGAAACCATAATGGTGAAAGTCAAGTGAAGGAGAAAGCGCGGTCGTGTTGTCTGGCTGAGCTGTCTTTCATCTCTTCTTCTATCTCGTCAAGTTTGGTTTTGGGAATCAGATCCGACCCAAAGAATTCAATCCTCTCGACTTTCACTCCACTTTCACACTCATTTCTGTCTTTTCTTCCACGCCACGCCACCTTATCAGGAACATCGTCGTCCTCGTTGTCATCCACAATGCAACGTGTGTACCCGAGACAACGAGACAAATCAAATCATGTCAAAAACTGCATAGTCTCACTTTACCTAGTTTCACGCTGTACTAAACCATACTAACTGCCACTTGACAGGTCAAGGCATCCTGCTGAGTGAGCATTTTCTCTGTCTCCTCTCGGAGTAGAAATACTACTCTTGTTTTATCTATTTTGCATAATTTTCACCCAAAAAGACTGGCTAAATTATTAACCAAAATGTGCTGACTACTCTACTTATAAACTTTGGTGGATTCCCAAAAGATAAATTCTGTAACTACTTAAATGGGTAAAAATTTTATGAAATTTGTATTCCAGCTTTTCGTCAAAGTTGTCGACTCTCCGGGAGAATCTGCCCTCATTTGGTCGCAATCTTCGTACACCGCATCCATCCCAGAACAACAGACTCCCGATACGACCTTATCAGCATCGCCGTCTTCCCTCCTCATCGCCAAGGTGTCCATCAACTCGACCATCTCGCTCACCCCGCCACGCGACAAGCACACCGACTCGGGCACCATCCTCTACGGATTTCACAACGTGCAGGACTCCCGCAGTTTGCAGCTTTTCTCCATCGACACGATCAGTGGGGAGGTCACCGTGCAAAAGGGTGTGGCCGGACTGTTCGACAGAGAGACGATTCCGCAACACATTCTCACCATCAAGGCGAGAAACCCCACAAACACGTACGGATTTGTGAGACTGGTCGTCAACGTGGAGGAGTGGAATGACCACGCCCCCATTTTCTACATGGCGGATGGAAGGTACTCAAGGATGGAGGTGCGAGTCCCGGAAACGGCCGCAGTGGGGACGAGGATTGCTCAGGTAATTAAACAGTTTTCACTAGTTTTAAATCGTTATTTAGTCTTCATATTGCTGGGTTTATGTGCAAACTTCTCTTTAAGTTAACAAGTCAATTTGCATTTATCTAGTCATTTCGGTATATTCGGTTAGAAATATTTGTCCATGCTCAAACTTTGCTCAATTAAACTATATGCCATCCCATTTTCTGGGTTACTCGTCCACTTTGTCACGTGGAGAAAGCGAAATGAAATCAACCCAGTGCCCGATCAAGCTAAAGCTTTCTCCCCTTTCTCATGTGAGCAGATTGACTCAACTTGACATTTATTGCCCTGTTTGACTCACAAATCTCGACCACTCCAACCTCGCGATCTGATCTCACTTTCACTCATTCTCCTTCCCTGCATACATGCATACACAGAGTTCTGCTGTCTGTTATGTACTTTCCCTATCTCGCCACCCACCCCACCCAATTCCGCCTGACCTGGCAGAATCCTGTTGAGTTGACAGAGTGAGCGACACTCATTTCAGCCAGGTCAAATTCAATTCCAGTTTAACGAGATTGTCCAGATTCGTATTACAGGGAAATTCGAGACTCCTTCCTCCTCTTAATGATCGCAAAATGTAAAAATAACTGGACCTCGGTTTGGTTGTCCAAAAATAGACTTCCCAAAAATATTTACTCTTAACCCTCATCAATTCAACACTCCTGCTCATTAGCATAATAATAAGCAACCCTCATTCGTTCGTGGTGAAAGCATATATTTTATTGAAATTTGTACCCAAAACCAAACCACTCGCATCCTTTTTTTTAAAAAAAGAACTCGAAGAGAGAAATCTGTTCCCTAAAATGAATTCAAATTCTATTCATTTCCTTATTTATGTTTCCTTACACGAACGCCGTTCCAATTCCCAAATGAGGATTCGAATAAAATTCAAGAAATTTAAGTACACATGGAATCGCATCTGGCCAAAGCTGCAAGATATGGGGACAGATTTAGATTTATTGCTTTGAATCTCTGCGCAATCCAATCTATCCAATCCAATTCAAGAAAGGAATAAATACTACACGACTGATAAAATAAAGTAAAATGAAGTAGAAACCCATTTCATTTCCTGATTTAAAGAAAACCTACTTTCACTGGAGGGAGGGAAATGCAGTAAAAAAAGACGGGATTTTATTCCGGGGGACCAGCTTATTTTAACCAGGCTTCGAATTTGAATGAGAAGTTCAGTTCACGTATGTGTGCAATATTGGTTTTGGATTTCTGTCCTTGTTTTGATCTTGAGAAAATGGGCTTGAATTGAGTGTGACACGGTTGCCTGGAATAATGTATGTAGGCCAAACCAAACCCAAGTCCCTACGGAAAAGGAAGCCGAGAGAAGTAATGTAAGCTAACGTGCGTGGTTTGGTTGGGTAGTAATGCGAAATCAGCACATGAATAGATCCTCAACTTTGTGTACGACCATGTTTTTGTCCCCAAGTTTGATTTGGTTCAAGTCTTGTGGGAAATTTCGGAGGTGGCAGCATTTCCAATTTTATTTGAATTTCATTATCTATTTTTACCTTGTATTGTGAGATAAATATGTATTTTTAAAAAATCGTGGGTTTATTTATTTACTTCTTTACAATAATATTTACTACATAACAATTTTGTATCCTTATTTTCGCACAGATCGAAGCCTTCGACCTTGACGAAGGTGACTCTGGTCAACTCTCGTACTCGATAACCTTTGGCAACATTGGGAACACTTTCCGCATCGATAAGGACACCGGCTGGCTGACTTTGCAACGTCCCATATCCGGGTCTCGAGCGAATACGGAGTATCTCTTAACCATCCAAGCCCTCGACGGTGGGACGCCCCCGCTTTCTTCGACCACAAGTGTCACAATTATTCCCACTCTGCCAAATGACGACGAAACCCTCGCCCTCGACTGTCGGGGAGATGACGAATCTAATTTTGGCCGCAATTTGGCCCCACTTTCCTCACTTCCTGGAAAATCAGGTGGGAAACAATCAGGCGGACGGGCTCCCAGCAATCAGAGAAAGACCGTGATGAGGGTCCGTGTCAAGGAGAATGCTCCCCCAGGAAGTTATGTGACTACAATTACGGCCTCAAACTCGAACAGTGCCTCCGTCTCGTTTGAATTGGAGGAGAATAAGAGCAACATTTTCTGGATTGATCCATCAACCGGTGTCATCTTGGTTGGAAAGGGGCGTGGATTGCTAGACCGAGAGAGTAAATCGAGTCACGAAATTACCGTCAAAGCTACCAATTTGGTGAGTATTAATCCCTCACTTTTTCCCCTCAGGGGGCAGAAAGGAGGAACACCCACAACTTTCTTGGGACATACAAATTTTTACATTGTGTAATAACAAAGGCTAAAATTAGCGAAAAAGTTAGAGTGATTAATTGCAATCGCGTATGAACAAGTAAATACATACCTGGACTTGGTTATGACTTTATCTACACGTCGCCTTACCTCTACGACCAGGTTTTTGACACCCGACCCGACTTTCCCTCTCCATTCTCTCGAGAAACTAAGTAGAAAGTTGTTTATGACCCGAACAACGACCACATTTAAGTTTTAACTGTGGTTACAAATGGCCAAAGTTTTACCTGACTGGACATTTTGTTTCTCGACTTGTGGATTGGCTTCAAGTCGTGGATAGATTGTAGCATCAAGAAAATTGGGTCGGTGAAAAAGTGATAAAAACTTGAAAATATTAGGTATACGACCCAGACTTTCTACCTGTGTTCCAATAATCTTGCCATGTTTTCCACCCAAGCCATGAAAAAGCTAAACAAACATTCCCCTAAAATGTACAAGTTTTGATATTATTTCGCGAAAAAAAAAGAGTTATTTTTCTGAAATTGAGAACACCAAATGTCCATCCAATTCCGGGCAGACAAACAAATCAAAAGTATTTACTAGACAAACATACAAAGTCATAAATCTGTCTGGGGCCCTCTTCTTATCTGAAGAAGAGGATATACACGGTGCACCATGTACTTTTAGGGGCTCACTCTCACTTACCCAATAAACTATACTGGTTCTCACAAATTTCTATCTCTCTATCAGGCTCCGAAAACCCATAAACTTTCACCCCGTTCGGCCCCGATAACGGAAACACTTCACCCCAACAACTTCTCTCTCTCTCTCGTTTTAAAATTATGGTGTAAAATCCACCCTAAATTTGTTTTCTTGTCAATTTAGCGCGGTGCTACGGCAAGTTGTCGTGTCGTGGTGGATCTTTTAGACGAAAATGATCACGTAAGAAGAAAAACCGAATTGGGAATATATTTATGAGAAAAACCCGGGTGTTTATTATTTGCAATGTTTTATAACAGAGACCTTTATTCACAACGACGCAATATGACGGGCTGATTAGAGAGGACGCCATGCCGGGTACGCTCGTGCGAAAGAAACCTGCACCACTCACTGGAACCACAAGTACGACAGTTTTGGGAAGTGAGAGCAGTGATTTCATCGAAACTGAGAAACGACCCTTGGTCCTCGAATCGTCCGATTTGGACGTTGGCATTAATGCACTCGTCACCTATTCAATCATTGAGGAGGAGGAAATGAGAAAGGTAAAAATATTGTTTTTTTTATGTACGTATTGGTAACTGCACCGCACGTCGCAGGAATCTTGTTCAGTTTTAATATTTTAAATTGTTTAATAAAGTAGTATTGGCGTTATAACATGTCACATATATAAATTTAGAACAAAAACGAAAAAATCTATTTAGGCAAACAGTTTTGATAAGTTATTTTCAATCAAGTTTTGAAAAAAATATATTCAGTTGAATTTTCAATTTTCAAGAATTGTTCAGCCGATTTAAACAAAAATTGTTCAGTCGAATTTTCCACAAATTTTAATTCAATCCCAACTTAACCACCAAATTTATCCACAAACTTGTACAGGTCTTTCACATCGATCCCTCCACCGGTGCTCTCGTCCTCATCACATCGCTCGACTATGAAAAACGTTCCGGATACGTTTTCCACGTAAAAGCGACCGACGGCGGAGGTCTGACTTCTCCCAACGTCGCAACGGTGAACGTCTCCGTGGAAAATGTGAACATGAAACGACCCATCGTGCTGAACTCGCGGGTCGAATTGCTCCTTCCAACCGGTCCGGACGTCTTGGTGGGTCGCGTCGAAGCCCGAGATCCGGACGGCGACGAGTTGGAGTTCAACATTACGCGAGGAAATGACATGGACTGGTTTAAAATTGGGAGAAAATCGGGCGAAATCAGAATTGGCAAGATGGCCCAGTTCCCCGTGACGGGGAGTAAAATTGTTTTGGAGGTAGGGTAAAAAATTTTGTAAAATATATTGCAAAATTTTTTACATTTCTTAAAAAAACTAGATAAATGTTGGCGACGGGAAACACTGGACAAGTTCCACGATGACGATCACACCCAAAAACATCGAGAGGAATCCAACCTTCTACTTTACCAATTCGACCTTTGCCACCACCACGATGGAAAATTCTACCAAAATTATCAACTTAATTAGTCTCGGCGTAGTCGGGGCATTTATGAACGAGCCCTTAAAATTCGAACTGCTCACACCCACCCCATATTTCGGGGTACGACCAACTTCAGGCGTGGTTTATACGACTGGAGAAAAACTGGACAGGGAAGAACAAGCCGAGCATGAATTACTCGTTCAGGTAAACACATTTATATTTTTTTTATCTATTTGCATGTCCACGATTACCTACTTTCATAAAATACAAAAACATTAAACCCCCAATGACAAACACGTCCATCCCACTCGCTTTCTCCACTTACTTTCACCAAGTGTGTAAATTATGCAGATTACATATTCAACTTACTTTCAACAATATGCATCATTAACAAAGTGAAACTAATTAAGGCGAAAATATACAAAAGTTTTACAACCCTTTTTACTCGCTCTATTAAATAAACATGTACTACAAGCATAAAATGTGTGTGTAGCAACTCGCTAAACGAGCTACTACACGTACACAAACTAGCTAACGCATCTCGAGAGAAAGAAGAAGACACGGGAAATATAATGCAGATGAGAATCAGATCACCAAAACTGAACCATCTTCACCACCACCATCCATCCTAAACTTTCTCTCTCCTGGTGAAAGTTGCAACCTTCTGCTTTCCGGATCGATTTCGTGCTTACTTTTTTAAGCTGAGGAGTGGTGGTGGGTGTAATAAAGTTGGAAATGTGGGGTATGTATGGATAGCTACATACAGAGCCGTACCGCGAAATTGTCAGGCCTGGTATGAGCTTAAGTGCCGGGCCCTTTCATAAGTTCAATATTTTCGATACTATGTTATCGCTTTCGCTCCAGAATACTAGGGCATTATGGAACGAAGCAGATAATATTCTACGAGTATTCAGAGCACATTATTTTTCATGGGAAAATGGTGACATTTACTTGCGCTCTTAACTCAGCCATATTTTTGAAAACATCGGCGGGACGGAGAAAAATCAATTACATGAACCTAAGTTGCACAAATATTCGAATATGACATACTTTTCGCTACTTCCCGCTACTTCCCAACGCTTCCCAAACCCTTTGCGATTAAATACTTTTCTATCCATTTTAAAAATTTGAAAAAGTGCCAGACTCATTTGGAATTGGCGAAGATGCAGGTCCCAAAACTCAATTCCTTTTAGTTCTTAGAACACTTATTGTATTATTTCTTGAATTCAGGTACATATTCAAAAACATACAGTATGGTGAAAAGCCAACGGTTTAGCTGAAAATACTTTTAGAATTGTACCAAGCGGTAAGAATAAAAAATAAATAATTGTCAGCATTTGGGCCTGAAGCAGTCAGACTATCAATTCGATGACGCCAGCGGTCTAACTCCGATTTTAACAAAACCACGATAATTATGGAACTTCAGACAAGTACTTAATAGAAAACGTGTTTCAGGATTTTTCATAATGCTCAGTTTAAACGAAATTATAAAGGGATCCGTAAGAGACAATTTCCATTTTGACCGTGACATTTTCTCGCGAGGGAGAAAAATACAGATTCTGGCTTACGAATTCCATCATAAATAATTTCGTTTTAAAATGCGTGGGCATAAACTGGTTTCCTCGGATTTTGACGCGACCACCTTTAAATTACTCACACATTGAAACAACCCGACCCGTAATTTTCGTTTTCCTGAATGTTCGTGTTTTCGGGTGTGACAGAATTTTTCAATACATTTTCAGCTCATTCAGGATTTTTCAAAGTTGTTAAGCTTGAATTTTTAACGCTATTTTAAAAGTGAAAGAACGTAGTTGCTCAAAATTACTTCCATAAATTTACAAAAACTGTCTTTCCAAAAACTTTTAACGTTCAAAATTTGTATACAATTTCGGGATTTTGAAAATATGCTCCAGACCAGAAAATCCGAAAAACTCAAAGTTTTTTAAATGTAGAATTTTTTTGAACTCAATATAATTTTGTGCAAAAATGTTATTTCATTTTTTAAATAGGGTCAAAATTTAAAAAGTTTCATCACTTTGAAAAATCCAAATTTGGCTGAAAATGAAGTCAGCTTATTTCCTTGTGTGGGCAATAGAGGTGAGCTGGATCGTCATTTTTTGAGATCCAATCCGTCCAAATCCATTTCACCCAAAAAATTTCGGATCCAATCCATCCAAATCCATTTGGCCCAAAAAATTTCAGATCCAATCCATCCAAATCCAGTTTGATCGGACCAGGGCATGGATTATCCAAAGAATAATATATATATAAACTCATGGTTAGTGTTCGGGATAAATCTGATTGGACTGTATATGTGTCACAGTGTGTGCCATGCAACAAAAGTATGGGCCATTTAGTGTTAGGATGAGATCGGAGTGTTAAAAAGAACACTTCCTGATATTCTTTATGGTGACGAAATTTATCCAATTCATCCAAATCCATTTGGCCCAAAATTTTTCGGATCCAATCCATCCAAATCCAGTTGGATTGGATCGGGCCATGCATTATCCAAAAAAATGGATATCCAGCTCACCTCTAGTGAGCAATTTAAGATTGGTCCCGTCAAAATCCGAGGAAACCAGTTCATGCCCACGCATTTTAAAACGAAATTATGATAGAATTCGTAAGCCAGAATCTGTATTTTCTCCCTCGCGAGAAAATGTCACGGTCAAAATGGAAATTCTCTCTCACGGATTCCTTTATAATTTCGTTTACTGTATGAAACTTGTCATGTAAACTGTACTGGTAATCATCTTGCTATGTAACTTGAACAGAATGCTAAAATCTGTCGAATTGGTTAGTCATTTCCATGAATCCAAGTTCGTAATATCTGTTGTTTTCGAAAAATTGAAGTTTGATGTAACCGTTTTACTGTTAAATGATGTAAAATTTTCTTGTCGTACTCTATGGGCCGCTTGGCCCGAAAGAGTGGTGAAATAAAGCAATACAATACAAAACTTATAATTTTGTTTAAACTGAGCATTATGAAAAGTCCTGAAACACGTTTTCTATTATTTGTCAAAGGCTCCATACTTGTCGTGGTTTTGTTAAAATCGGAGTGAGACCGCTGGCGCCATCGTATTGTAAGTTAAGGGTCCTAAGTTCATATTTACCTAAGTTTGTCCCTGGGTTAAGTTAAATTTGCCCCTTATCAAGGAACATTTGAGTTGCCAAAAAGCATCTTTGCTTTATTCACGTTGAATTTTTGCAAAGTTCGCATGTTTTCGGTTTCAAGAAATTAGGTAATAATGTAGATAGTAACTCTTTTCATACACAGAATTCCCCACAATCTCACAAAATAAGTATAATGTGTAGCATTGCATATGTCGAAATTGTAACTAAAAATTGGTAGCCATGAAGTGATCCTCTCCGATTTTTACCCTACAAGTCACAAGTTTTAAATTGCTCAAGCTCAGAAATAAGTCGACCCATACTTTTAGGTTTTCTTGAACCTAATTTCTTTTTTAGCTTAATTTCTGAATGAAGTTTCAGCTAAAATCATGATTTAACATTTAATTAAAATTCGAAAGCCAAATATTAGAATTAAAAATTGTAGATACGTTAGCTCTAAATTCATACAAAAGTGGAAGCCAATGAAATTCATACAAAAATAATTGAACATGAACAACAAATAAGATCTAGCAGTTTAGTGTTAGATGTAAGCAAATTTATTTGCGTGGAATATTTTTTTTGTAAAATCTTCAATACTCAAAAAAGTCCATTATATCTAGTGTAAAGGTAGCGACCTGGCCCGGGCCCTTGCAGGCCCCGGGCCTGGTATTTCGTACCACCATATACCACGGTTGGTACGGTACTGGCTACATACTTACAGCTACATAAATGTTCCGCTCCTTCTTCTTCTTCTTCTGCCCATTTCAGGCCAAACTTTCTCCTCCTCTTCTTCTTCTTCCTCATGTCTAATCACTTTTGTTGTATTACTATTACTACTCTAGTTAATTTTGCAACAGCCTGTTCCCTCCTTGGTATCATCAAACCAACAAGTTTGCGTCCTTATTTTCCAGCTAAAGTTGAACACCGTGGCTTGTTTTAGTAATAAATAATTACTTCTTTGTATATACACCATTTAGTTACTCACTCTCAACGAAAAAGTAGTAAAAATTGTACTTTTTTCGGTAACAAAATAAAGTAATAATTTTGTCTTAATTATTATTTCCAGGTCCGTGGCGAAGAAGCGTCCCGAATTTCTCGGTGTTTTGTCAAAGTAAAAATTGGCGACAAGAACGACAACTCCATTCAATTTCTGAACCTGCCATATGTGGCGGTCGTCTCCTTGGAGAGCAAAGGAGGGGACACCGTACTTCAAGTAAGCTTTCCCCTTAATCCTCTCCGGTAATATATAACGGTTTTAGACCAGTCTTTCTTCGTCTCCGCCGCCACCGAAAGAGAAATTGTGGACACTTGCTACACACACACTTTTAGCAGTACCAGCAGTGCGTCTCTCTCTCCCCTCTCAGTTTTGCTGCAAGCACATGTGGAGAAAGTCGTCCCCTATATTCGGGGCGATGATATGGTAGCTGCATTCATAGCCAGGATTGGTTTTGGGTCGTGGATTTCTTCCAAGAAAAAAGCGAATCCTCTGAGCGGATTTAGTTTTGGGTATTTGACAATGTCTTACTCCGTCCCTCGTCCGAGAGGAGTGACCATTTCCTTGATTTATTCTCTGGGGTGGATCCGATTGAATTGGTTGCGTTTAAAAAATGATGGAAAATAAAAAGAGAGGAAGGAACCACTTAAAAGTTTGATTACTTTATTTCTTCCCAAAAAATAATTGTGGTTTCAGTTTTTTTCTTTCCTTTTCCATCCCTCACTCATCAATTAAAAGGATGGATAACATCATTTCCTCCCCCGAAAAAAAAATGCGAGCAACGTATTGTTTAAGACGTTCAAGTGCGGACATTTATCTCCACAGATATTTCTTTCACCAGAGGATAAACTTTGTCCGAATTTTTTCCCTCACTTTCTCTCCACGCCCGCATTTTATTGTCTTTATTGCCTACTTTTCCCAAAGAGCGACGTGTTATTCAAATAAATGGGGGAGTAGCTGTACCGAAATCGTCTAAGTAGCCGTCGTTCTATTTCTTTAAGTAGGGTAGTAAACTAAACGGGATAAAAATCGTTGGCACACGCCACATCACGTATGTATCCAACGGTATGTGGGACTAGGAGAATCTGATCCAGTCGAAATTCTGCTAAGTTGGTGGGTGGGCGGGTGTGTAAGCGATGGTCCATTTTACCCATATTTCATCCAACTCACTCACCTACCTCTCATCGGACACACCATTAAAGATTTTCTTAATATTTTAAAACTTTTTCGGCATGCAAAATCATATCGGGAGGAAGAAAAGCGTCCCTCTTATTGCCTCCTCCTCCTTCTCTTCTTCTCGTTACCAGATCGTGTTTCCGGTCGTTCATAGTGAAAGAATTGGGCACCACCACCACCATCATTTCATACTCATACGTACTTATAATGCTCATCTCCTCGTCAATAAAAAGTTTGTAGGCGCAAACAACCCACTTTTTTCTGGTGGATGGAGGAGAGAAAGGCAGCCAAGTAGTCGATATCTCTCTCCTGCATCCATCCATTTAGTGCAGACCATGCGAAATCCATCAAGTTTCTCTCTCCTCGGATGATACATTGCTCGTGCCCCTCATAATTCAGCTACTCACCCGAATCTACTCCCCACATCCGGTATAGAGAGGAGAGGAACGAGTCCAATTCGGATTTTAGGTCATGATTTCCTCCCTTTGTGGAGGGACGAGATATGAATAAACCATAAGGAGTGAGTGAGTGAGAGAGAGGAAGGAAAGCCACGCAGGGAGAAAAAGAGTGATCGACTACTTTCTCCACTTTCACGAGGAGTTTGCTACTCTTGAAATCTATACGGCTTCAACATAGAATTTGGTCATTTTGATTTTGTTGACTTTGAAATGACGAGGAGTAGAAGAAGAAAAACAACAACTACTTTTTTTCAGGAGATGAGTGATCATATTTCGTAATTGGGAGAGAGAGATAAATCAATTTTGGGTTGGTCAGCTTTTTTACCTAGATGTGAAATTTAAAGAGGAAACAAAAAATCATGCGTAGATCTGGAAACGGTATCTTTTTGTTTGAATTATTTAAAATATTTTATATAAGCTATATTATGTCGTGGAGGTCATACAATAATGTAAAAACCGAAAAAAACCCAAATGAAACAAAAGATGATTTCTTCTTGGTCAAAAAATGTTTTCAAGTTTTTTATGAACTTTTCACATGATTATGTAATCCAGGAATAAATGAAATACGTGACTCAGTCAGTATACGCCTTATTTTTTTCTTAACTGGTAAAAATATGACCGACTTTACTTCTGAGTTCGAATCCATACGCAGTTGGTTGAGGTGATGCCGCTAATAATCCGAGCCGTAGTCAGTCACGAGATCATAAACCGGAAAGGATTAATGACGTGCATTAGTGACATTTCATCTCATTATTCACATCCTTTCTCCACATCTATACATCATTTTTGGCTGAAATGATCCAGCCCTCTCCTCAGTCTCACTAGTTTAAGAAGAAGAGAAGAGAAGAATCCACCCGGGTGGTGGTGTGGTGGCATCATTAAATATTATTCGGTTTTTTTCAGATCCAGTTTTTTTCTATCTATCTCTCCGTGTTCTTATATAACTAAATTGAGACAGATTTATCTAACTTTTTCCTCATTACTTTCCAGGTGAAAGGCTTTGATGCGGATGAAGGTGAAAACGCCGTGATTCGTTACGAACTAGTCCGCTCTCCACACGGAGACATTTACGAATTGGATCGGAACACTGGATTTATTCGATTGCGGAGAAAACCTGATGCTACTGGACAGCATGAACTCATAATCAAGGCGTACGATGGTGGTGAGTAAATAAATTACATAATACATAAGTTTTACCTCCACTAAAATTCATGATAACAACTAAATCAACTTATTGAATTGTTGCGTTATTTTTGTCAAAAGCAATGCAATTTTGTCAAGTCTGGTGTATGTAATTTTACAACACATTTGTGTTTACTTGTTCCTTCCGTGACTTTCTCATCACAGTTTTAGCCTCCGTTGTAGTAAATAGATTGCATGTTCCTTTGTGAGAAAGGGAGGAAAAGCTAGCTAGCTTGCGAGCGAGCATGTAAAACCATTACCATTTGTCTCCTCGTGGTCTTTAGATTGTCAACCAAGTACTGCTCCGTATTTACTACACACAGTCCATACTTCCAGATCGGCCCCTTTATTTTATTACCCGCATGAATTATGTAATGGTGGAACAGGATCGCATCGCACGAAATAACAAGCAACTTCCTCCTCCACTCAACTTACTTATAAACTCGTCATGAACAAATTCCACTAGTTCAATCAATATTAATGCGAGCAAACTTTTTGTGAAAATTATTTATTTATTATGAAAACTTTTCTTTGAAAATTTCTCAAAAAAATAATAATTTCCTAAAAAAAACTGTAATCTATTTATAGGCGTCCCCACCTGCACTTCGGAGACCACGGTGTTAGTAAAAGTCGTAAGTTCTGACCAACCCGTGTTTGAGCAACAATTTTACGAAACATGGATCCCCGAGGATGCCGGTGAGTAATAAAAGTTGACATATTTATGGTTGCATTTGCCTCATTTTCTAATTAATAATATTTTCCCAGCCCTCCAATCCACCGCGATTGCCCTCATGGCACACGCACACAATCCCATCCTCTACTCGATCCATGGTGGCAATGATCACGACGAGTTTGCCATCGACTATCAAACAGGTAACGCTATTTATTCACTATCCTGGTTAAGAATTCATGACTAAAAGACATTTCTTGCCTGGATAATCATCACCATTATTGCCACGTCATTATCATCACTGTAACGTCTGCCACCATTTTATAATAAACCCGGATGGTAAACAAACCCCGCGTTTTATCCTGGCCAAAGAGTAAAAAGAAAGCAAACAAAGTAGGTCTGACGACTTTCTCCCGTGAACTCGGAACGTCGTCGTCTCTGCAAATGTGTGTGTCTCCCTTTGACTCTGATCCAAATGAACAATAGAGGAATTATACCGAACAAGAAGACAAAGAGGACAAAATGATTTACTTCCCATGCGAACGATACGATCCTCCCAAAGATAGCAGACAAATGAAAGTGTGTCTTGTACTTTGTCACCTTTTTCACACTCTTTTTTCTCTACCTACTTAGCCACGCCGTGTGTGTGTGTGTCCGCTTTTAGAAGACCATTTGTCTTGACACGCACAGAGACACACACGGAAAAAAAGAAAGAAAGCGAAACACAACCCCCGACACGAAAGGAGACAATGACTTTCTTTGCTAAAGAGAAAGTCAAACTACATTCGATCATGACATCATAAATACATGAAAGAAATTGTGCCATCTCTTTTGTTTCGGTGCGTATTATTGACTCCATTAATTACTGTCGTCCAAAAAAAAGAGAAATGGATTTTCTTTGTGTTACGAACAAGCTAAATTAATTGACTTTTTTTTAAGTCACCCACCATTGTTTTTATATAAATGTTATTTACACAACGCGTGTGTGGGTGGGTGATACGTTACTTAAATATGCTCCGGATGCGACCTTCTGTCCGTTTTTTTGTAGAAATACATTGTTCCGTAGTCCATTTCCTTTGCGTCGCGTATTTTTCTGGCAGCATTGGGTAATAGGAAACCCCCTGAGATACTGATGGATAGTGCTTTCTCCAAATATACTCTCATTTGAGTCGAAGTGAAACCTAACCTTCTGCGGAGAAAGTCAGTCACTTTCACTCTAACTTTCTTTACGGAGGAGAAGTCCTGCCCATGAATTGCAGTGTCTCGTTGTAAAAAAAATAATAATTTCTTGTCCTATTTATATCCGAACTATAAGAAATTATGTCCATTTATGAATTAAAGGCTCGCCTGTAACCCTTTCATTTTGTGTCTCAATTTTCTCCCTGAGTTAAAAAGAAAGTGAAAGTGTAATGGATTACGGTTCATTCTTTATACGTGTTGGCAGTTGGAGTATGAGACTTCTTTTTTTCTCTTTGAGAAAGTAAGTAGGCTGTCCATACAGCTTTCTCATTCCGAGTAATAACTTCCTTCCGTTGTAACCCCGGAGGAAAAAATTAGGACAGACTTTTACTTACTCACTCACTACTCGACTGACTGGCAGGGAAGGCTGACTACTTTATGAAATTCAATTTACTTTCTCTTCTTTCTCTCTTCAGCCAAGGTTGGAAAGCATTTTTCGTACGGATTCAGTAGCAGAGTTTAAATTGACTAATTATTAATTTTAAACTCGAATCGATAACGGGCACGTGGATGGCTAGACCTGAATTGAAAATGATGATGATTATTTAACCAGATACGGCTTAATTATGCATATGTTGTGGTTCTGGTGGTATCAAAATTACGCGGAAATTTCCTTGTTAAGCTAACTTTATGATAATAAAAATGATGTAAATAACATATTGTAATGTGATCGTCTCCTCTCTTTTCCTCTCTTCTCTCTCTCTCTTTGAATGGCTCGCTGGCTGACCGTCTGTATCGTGTCGTGTCGTAAATCTGTCAATCCATCTCAACTTTTTATTGTTCAGATATTGGACTCAACCGGATCTGTAAGTCGAATTTATCCCTTCAGTGAAAAATTTTAGTAGATTTAGTTCAATCTTGAATTGAAATTTTGTAGTTTTGTTAGAAGATTGTTATTTTATTTTACATTTTTTAAAAATCTATTTTGATTATTATTTTTTTGTTTGTTTTTGTTTCACAATTTCGGATCACTCAAAATTTTGAATTGGCTTTGAGTAGCCTTACTTTGAACCAAGTTTTGCCCATTTTGCTTCACTCTCTGTCGCTTCTTCTCAAGTGGTAAGCACTTAATTTGCTCGCCATATTATGATTCCTCTTGAGTTGAGCCCATCTAATGGACATAATCGCCAGTAGCGTAATTTGCATACATTTGAGCCGTCTACAAACTTCAACACTTTCCTGTTTGTTTGATCATTCTGCAACAAAACAACGCTTAACAAACAAACAAAGTAACAACCTTTTAACCTTTCATCCGACCCATTTTGTAAATAAAGTTTTTGGACGGTCGGTATACTAAATATGTGCTCGTCGTTGCTTTATAAATTGGAGAGGAACTCCTCGTAATCCTCTCCGGAGGACGACTGCATCTATTTATTCACTATATCCGGCTACATAAAATTGCTCTTTTGTTCTCAACTCGTCATCTAATGTTCAACTTAACATTTCAGCCACCTACTAAATTTAATAGCTTCACTTTAAACTGTGCTCTGTACGCGGAACGAGGCAGAATTTTAACCCGTGTTTTAAAACATGCTGCATTGCACCATTTTTCTCACTGGAAAACCCATTATGATCATCTTTGTTTCCTATTTTTTGTGTGGATTTTTTGTGTGAAGAACATTTTGCATATTTCTTTTTTGAATTGTTGAATTGATGCTGGGAGGCATACTTAATTTTGAAATTGCACACTTTATTTTTATGGTTTTTAGAAATCTGATTTTGGTAGATACAAAAAAAAAAATTTTGGATTTGTAGTTTGTTTTCGCCATTATGGAAATTTTTCAATTTGTTGCAATAATACAGTGTTTGTAGATCGGGTAGAAATATGTAGAAAATGAATTGTGATTAATGAAGAATAATGTTTTTTTCTAGGCGTCCTGTTTGTTAATTCGCCCCTGGATTACGAAACTCAACGGACACACCGACTCACCGTCCGTGCCACGGACCTTGTCACCTCGTCCGGATCATCTACCCAAGTTTTGATTCATATCCGAGATTCGAATGATGCTCGTAAGTTTGTCGATAAGACAGAAAAATTGTTTCTCTTTCTTTAAAATACAATAATTCCTGTATTTAAAAAATTGAACTAAATTCATGCCCAGGCCCCATCTTCGACAAATCGATCTACACCATCCGCCTGGTCGAGGGGTACATGCCGCCGCATTCTTTACTCGCCACGCTGCACGCACATGACAACGACACGGGGATAAACTCCCTCCTAACGTACGACCTTGTTCCCGATGATGGTCCCATCCTTCGCATTCCGAACGAGAACTCTTCCCCACAGAAGAAATCATCCTCGTCATCGACACCTACGCGAGGACGTCTCCAGAGGAGAGAGATTGATTCCGAGGACGTCGAGATGGATTTAGAGATGGAGGACGCCACGAGCAATCAGCGATCATCATGGGACGTCACGAAATACTTTATGATTAAGCCCAACGATGGCAAGATTATTCTGAAACAAATGGTGGATTACGAGCGAGCACATGAATACAGGTTTTCCGTCGTGGTGAAAGATTCTGGCATTCCTCCGCTAAGTTCCACGGCGAGAGTGGTGGTGCAAGGTGAGAAAAACATTGTTGTATTTATTTCCACTTCCGGTCAACATTCGTGTCAGCATTTTGATTGCGAAATGTGTCAAATTGCCTCAGAAAAGTCCCATTCATTTCCAACGATTTCTTAAAAAGTCACATGACCCATTTCCTTGAACTTTATCTCGTCGCGTGAGTATTTTCGAGATAACGCAACACCTGGCGCGGTCTTCACATCCGATCCCGTTAGACAAATATTATTTGACGTCGTATGTGTCACTAACTAGTCTCCATGCCAGATTGGATGAAATAGATTGGATTCATCATCTTCACACTTTCCCTCCCGGAAATATATTTTTCGGGGAGAAAGTTGGCGGTTTGTAGATATTTTATTTCGGGTCGTGTAACAGATTACGTCCCAAGGCTTAATCTCTCCCTCTCTTCTCATCGACAACTCTCTCTCTGGGAATTTGTTGTTGTCTCGTTCGTCCTTGTTGTCTTTAACGTATTGATTTCTGGGTGCAGTTGTTACTGGCAGCTTTTGTCGGATATTCTTCTTGCTGTCTTGTTTTTCTTCTATATTTTATGAGATGTGATCTCTCCTCTTCTTCCTTCTCATCAACGCGGTATGACTGACTGCCTGCCTGGTGTAACATTCTTTTGTAGAAAAGTACAACTTTTCCCCCTCCATCGTAAAGTTAAGGACTTCCTTGCTCAGACCAACATCATTTGAAATTTGACACGACACGCACCAAAAGAAATCACCCAATAAATAAGACGAGATACGCAGTGTCGGTATCAGTGATGATGGAATTGTACCCTTATTTCCGGGCAGATTAGAGATTACAGATTGTATTTTGTAGATTAACACGCTTTTTGTCTAGTTGGATTATACATACGACACCTACTTTCACGCCTATTTTCGTATTTATGATGGCATAAATGATAGGATGATACTATTTAATACGTATTTTCTGATAGATACATATTATCGATTCATTAATCACAGGGAAAAAATCTTGTAATATTTATTTATCTGGAGGGGGATAAAGTTTACTTCATTTCGGGAATCTATTTCAGGAAATAATAAACTTTTTATGAAGGAAAGAAGAAACAAATAGAAACCTTGAATTTCTTATTAGTTTCTTGAACTCTACAAGTTTTCGTATTTTTGGGATGTGGCGAATGCTACATTGGTTCTTTGTTGATATTTGTACATCATCATTTATTTTGTTCACTACGCATTTCATTAAAAAGGAAACGTTGCCATTTTACGTACATATATTTGTATCTCGAGATTATTTGCATTATGACGAAAAGCTTGGGTCCTTAGGCAATGTGGGACAAAAGACGAAATGAAATATAGAGTAGCACAGTTTGATCTCCTTTTTTGATTAGTATTTTCGAGACTTTATTTTATTTTATTTATTTACTTTGCCCAGTAAACAGTTCCATTTAGGATGTAATATTTATCCGGAAGATTTCCTCTTTTCTGGAACTTGGAAATTTATTTTTCAACGATGTTTAGAATGACGATGCGTACATAGTTTTATATTTTCTGCGGTTTGTTGACCTATAAATAAAATGCAAGATAATATTTTACCGATACTAACAATAAATTCTTTCATTTTTTTTACAGTTGTCGACATTAACGATAGTGGCGTTGTATTTGAGAAGAACGTTTACTACGCCCGCATCTCGGAATCCGTGCAAAGAGGACATTTTGTCACAAAGATCTCCGCGTATGATCCTGACTCCGTTGATCACATAAAATATTCCATCATTGGTCATTCTCACTATCACATGCCGTTCGACATCAATCCTGACGCGGGTAAGTTGCAAAAACTTATTTTTCTTTCAGCAGCACTCGCAGAAATGTAATTGCACACTTTTTTTTACTTATCATTCCATCAATCATTACGAATCTATTAATACATACTCATCATAACTCATAAAAAGACGTTACTCTCCATCTTTTTTTCTGGTTATTTTCGTCACAAAAGGAAACACAATATGGCGAACAAATCATTTCTTTTTTTGATTAAGAAATAACATCCAGCCAAAAATGTCTCCATTTCAATCCCTCATTTCAGTTTGTCTTTCTCCGTGTACCTTCTCTTATTCATGGCTTTCTACACAAATTCAATATGCATTACAAATTACCTGAAATTCGGTAAAGGTATTCTTCATTTCTAATATTCCCGTCTTCTCAATCTCAATTTCTTATGTACATACATTCATAAATATAGATCAATAAACCGTGGCACAACGAATGTGAGCCAGATTACCAAGTTCCATTTGTAGGAATTCCTTTGGTCCGAGTAGTTTTATTGAATTCAGTCGCAGGTAACATGGACAAATACAGACTTACATTTTTTATATTATTCCCATTTCGTCCCGTAATGCAAAACATGTTTTGTTTGAGTCCTTCTTTTTTCCTTTTGTACATAAATAATATTTTCCTCTCAAAAGAAAACGATACTGCTTACATACACACAAATTTCTGAAAGGCTCGGCCCACGCCGATCCAAATTAAATTACAATGCCCACCATTTTTCTGTCCCCTTTCTTCCATACCATTCAGGGTTAAATTGTGACCAGAGTTTTTCTTGTCCAGTTTATTTCCTTCTTTAACAAGAAACACCTTTCCGGAGAAAGTCTGAACAAATCTGTTTCGTTCCTCATTTGTGGACCGATCTGGAACTACCCAATTGAGCCATGTCATGTAACGACATCATTTCATTTCATTTCATGAAGTGTGCACTCGCCTAGAAAATCTTTCTCTTTTTAACTGAAAGTAAATAAAATAAAGCAAACAAAACGGTATAGCATGGTTTGGCATGTTTGAGTGCACAAAGCTTTTTTTTGTCCTCGCTTTCACCAGTTGAAAAATCAGTTGAAAAGGAGGAAACTCACCGTCCGTCGTTTTTTTTGCGGTGATTGCCTTTTTATTGATTTCTACTTTACTTTTACTCCTACTTTTATCCATACTTAGGTCCATACATACATGGGTTACGTACTTACTTACTCGGTAACAGGGTGTAGTTGATGATGGAGATATTATTGAAGAGAGAGAGAGAAAGAAATCAAGAATCATTACCGACGAGAGCAGGGGAACATGCATGAAAATTTGAGTGGTTTCATGTTCTGTTATTCTCGTGTTTATTTTTGTAATTGGCGAACTTTCATGTTCTTCGTGGATATATTTGTGGTGATGAAAGGGTTTGAGTTATCGTCACTTGGTGGAATTGATATGGCTTCCTCCGACTGATTATGACTGACTGATGGGTGGGTGGTGTTTATTGAATTGAGCGTCGTCTAGACTGCTATGAGGATGATGGAATGGCGACGACGATGGTAGTAAATTGATTACGTTCACATTTCAAGGAGTAAATCCGGACATCATAAAGTTATGATTTATTAGATTTGCAACAAATTTTGGTGGACATTGACTCCATGCCAGATTTTTTTTCTAATTATCATGAGGCAAAATTATGAAACATGATTTTTTGAAAATTTTACACCGAGATACTAATCATTCCATCCATGTTTCCTTATTAATACTCGTTATATGCGGAATATTAATATAGGTTTATTAATTCCCCAACTTTCTCTTAAACGCACCTCGCCCACCAATCTCTCCCTTCCGTTTCGTCAAGTAGATTAGATGGCATTTTGAAACCTTTTAGCATCACGACGACCACCACCAGCACCGCCCTGGGTATGGAATGTCGTGTCATATTTATTGCATGAGTGACGCTTGATAAGTCTCCCACCACCCACCCTGCGATGCGAGGGTGGAGGCAGACAGGGTAAAAAAAGTGACGTTGACGTGTGATGGGTGACTTGACGTTTAGCTCGCATTATTGGATAGCTGCTTTCTCCTCTCGCCTTCTTCGTCTCGCTCTCCTCCATGAAAATATATTTCTTTGAAAGGATACAAAATCCGGTATTATTTATTATTTGATCTGACATTGACTTTTAGGCTCGCACTATGGCTACTTTCCCTCCACGTACCCTACCACCACCACTACCCTTTAGTAACCTTAGACATTGACGAAGACGATGCAGTAGGGAAAATTGTGTAACATTCTTGGTCTTCCCGATACAGAAATAGATTCAATAAAAGGATTGCATTTCAACTTCCAACATCCAAAAGTGCAAGGATAACTGAATTTCGTTAGATAAATTGCTTACCCGAATTCATACGAAGGAGAGAAGAGAACGCACATTTCTCTACTTCTCAAATTAACAGAGTGAAAGTGAAAGTTCCACATGATTTTTTTTCCTCGGTATAAAAATAAACTTTCACTCTCTCCTTTAAGTAAGATTGCACACACCGTCCCATTAAAATATTATGGGCTTCTACCACATATTAAATTTAATACTTTGACTCCCCGTTGAAGGTGAAGTAAGGCTTTTCTTCTTTTTTAAAAAATGAGCCATGTTTTTTTAAAGGGTCGATATTCACATTTTTATTTTCTTATCTACACACACTGTCCCGTCGTGTATCGCCCAAGCCCTCCACGTGCGGGGTACATATATGCAATACGTATTCCCCCAAGGTGGAGGATGGATTGGAGAATATGCGTAAAATTTGCATTTCGCATTATAACCACCAGGACGGAGGAGCCGAGGAAAATTCGATTTTCTTACTCTTACCGGGAATGAATATTAGTAAAGACGACGAGGAAGGATGACGATGACGGGGAGAAAGTGCACGAGATTCATACTCTCTCAACCTCACTTCTCAACACAGGAGAGACGTTTCTATTTTACTTTACCCTGAGCAGTAATATTTTAATATTCATTCCCTCCGCCCGTATGGAACTTTCTGTTCGACACCATGTACGTACAACATTTTGACTTTCACCATCCAACCACTCATCCAATCCACTCAGGCGAAAGTGGAGAAAGAAAAAACGATGGTGGGTTGTCCACGTCCAATTTATCCTTACGTAACAAAAAGAAAATATTCAGTTTAAATAGGTCCAAAAATTTAGTAATTCATATTTTTCCCTCTGGAATTTTCTCACGTAGCCGTTTTTTTATTTTATTCCGGTATAAAATATGGAGTGGGAGGGTGAAAGCAGTACTTTGTTAAGACTTTCTCTGTCCTCCTCTGTTGCAAAAAAGGACATCATTATTATTACAAAGGTGTGATATATGTTGTGACATGAATGGAAAGAAATGCCTCTGGAAAAGGTGGAGTGGGTAATTTATAAAGTGGAGTGGGGAAGACCAGATGGACGGAAATCTGTCTCACAAATTTAATCAACCAACCACCACTGCCATGGCCACCGCCACGACTATCTGCGAATACCGGCTTTTGTCACACACACGAAACCAAGTCCTCCTCCTCGTCCTCGTACTTTCTCTACTCCAAGTGCATTATATTATGTTTCTTCTCGAGAGTCGTCTTCGTTCGTCCTTCCACTTCATTTATTTATTCAAAGGTTTCAAATTAAATTCATTTCTTCAGAGAACGTATGTACATACATATGCTAGATTTGGGGATGTTACGTATCGCAAAAAATTTATGTGCTGGGTAAAAGAAGAAAGATTTATTTTTATCGAGCTTTAAAAAGAGTATGATTACGTATTGATGGAAAATTGTGATGGAATAAGGACCTGTAAAATATTGATACGTTTTTCAAGGAGAAAGTCCACACTTTCTCTTTTATGTGAAGGAAAAAGAGAAAAAAATGTGACTCTCCTATTTTTGCACTTGTCAATCAAAACACATACATAAACATTTTAAACCGTTATTTTTACCTTTTTTATTTATACCGTCATCATTTTCAGGTGTTGTACGCGTCTCTCAGCCAAACTTGTTACTGACAGAGCTTCACTTTGAACTCAACGTGTCCGTGACTGACGGTGTGTTTACCTCCTTCGCCAAATTACACGTAAGTCGTTCCTTTTTTCCATTTTTTTCTAAGTAATGTGTCACCTTCCCTTTGAAAATATTGACGTAAAATACATTTATGTAGCACGTCGCAGTCTGAGGAATTTAAGAGTTTAAAATGCTTTTACCCCCATAATCAGTAAAATTATCATTACATAACAATGCCCGGGTATCGGTGAAAGTGGATGTCACAGGAAAACTAACTCCACTCCAGTCGACTCAATTCCATCTTATTATTCGCCATTTGCTACTAATCTTTGTTGTTGCGTGTCTACGAGAAGCTATAAGTAGAGTCGTGTAAGTAGGCAAATTTAAGTGGAAATAAGATTCTGAGTGACTCAGTCAGTCAGTCAACCATCCATAAATGGAGAAAGCAGCAAAAGCAAACCAGAAAAGCTGTCATTTCCATTCGGATCTTTTCATACAAAAACGTACCCAGCTAGCTCTTAAAAGGATGTCAACCAAGAAATACCCCCCACACCACTCTGAAATCTCTTTTCTTGGTTAAAAGCTTATTTTCTAGGGTGGAAATAACTTTCTCTCCTTGGGTAAAAGGCATTTTCATCCCGATACATCCAATCCACACAGGAATACTGTTCCAAAATCTTCTTTCCTGGATAAATAAATGCTCTCAAAATCTATCCTCTTCTCCTCCTCCTCCTCTTTATAATAAAGTGGAGCAAGTAGAAGAGAAAGCACACCGCACTTGTACTCCCATTTAAGTGAAAGCGCTCACCCAACCATTTTACCAGATATGAAATGAATACTTGCCTTGAATTTGAATCAGCCAGTTCGACGACTCGACCCAACGCATAACAGTGTGTAGACATTTCTTGAATTCAATTCGATTCAAATATCAAATCAATTCAAATGACATCAGAGAAAGCGTAACGAGCTCAGACGAAGTCCCTATCAAAATAAGTCGACCAAAACGACTACACAGAATAAATGTGATCCACTTATTTTCATATTATATTCAAGTAGATTTTCTAGTTCTCTACGCATTTCTTTTTTTTTTGTGTGACTACTTTCACCACGAAATAAATATAAGGAGAAAGTGCGCTTATTTGCTCTTCAAGACTACTTTCTCTAGAGAAGAAATCCATTTTCATCAAAAAACCGATACATCTTAATGAAATTGAAATCATTCTTTTATAAAAATGGGACTTTCTCTTTTCTCTCCGCAGATTGAAATCGAACCCCGAAATCATTTCGCTCCATCCTTCTCCTCACTAATCTATGAGGTCGGATGTCCCGAAAATGCACCGGATGGTCACTTAATCGCCAAGTTGAACGCGGTTGACCCCGATCGCTCCATTTTTGGTCAGGTCAAATACTACATTGCTCAATGCGATGAGCCCGACTTGTTCGAAATTGATGAGGATTCTGGCGAAGTGACGCTTCACGCGGGAAATGGTGACATTTCCCTCGACCGTGAAGTCAAGGGGAGTCACACCCTTGAAATCGTCGCACGTGATGGCGGTGGATGGCTCGGATACACAAAACTTGCAGTGAAAGTCATCGACACGAATGAATGTAAGATTCATATTATTATAATAATATTAATTTATATAACGAAAATGAGGTTATGTCACTTCCGGGCTATGTTATCTATATCCAACTTCCGGCACAACTTTTGCACACCGGGAGGATTGCATAATCCAATTTACTCTGAAAATTTACTCCTCTCTCTCCCACTTCAAAGTGTAAATGATACCCACACAGAAGCACGACTTGCCATGTGACGAACTCTATAATTCTAGCCCCATTTATCGGGTAATTTGGCCTGATTTATGATCCGCTAATGGCCCATTTCATCCCCGCCATGGCTGTAGAGATACCTTTCAAAATCTGTACACACATGTTTGATAATCCAATATAATTCCTATCTGGGCATGTCATCGTCATCAATATATTTTAAGTGGTGCGGTAGGAACACGAGTTGTAGGGGAAAATTAAGTGGTGGCACACGACACCAAAATCGTTATTGTGTGCCAACGAGGACGACAAGCTTGGCGTAAGTTGTAATATGTGCATTTCAGGCTTTTTTGAGATACCCGGGTGCAAAGTAGTTTCCATTTTCACTGCCATCATTATCATTATCAAGGTACCGATTAGCGTCATTAAAGACGTATGCAGTGAGGGTATCACATTACATTCCTGTCGCACTTCATGTGGTAATCTTGATTTATTGCGAAATATGTTAAACCACTGCATGGGCAGATAGCACGAGCGAAATTAATTGCAGTTAAGGCAAATAAAACAAAAAATAGTAAGAAAATAAAAAAAAATGATAAATTCGGGATATTTACCAAATCTGTTGAATTTATTTATTAATTCCCGATTATGATTTTATATTTTTTGGCGTAGACCCACCACAATTTCCCGTTACGGAGTACAGAATAACTCTTCCTGCTGAACGGATACGATCTAAAACGCCAATACTTCAGGTAAATTTTCACCTTCAGTGCAAATTCGTCCTTCAAAATTCAAAATTTCATGTATTTCGTCAGGTCGTGGCGGTCGATGCCGATACCGAATTCGGAATTCGCTACTCCATCGTGGACCTACCCACGACGGCTTTCCGATCAAACTCCAACTCCACAACGACCTCCTCCCCCACGACGAAGAGGGACTCGTCCTACTTTGAAATTAACCCAGATTCTGGCGAAGTCCGGCTTCGAATGAGTGATCAAGACATTTTAAAATTTATGAAGGACAAATCTCGCATCGATTTCCAGTTTTGGGCCGGTGCCACGGACGAGGTACAAATCCAAATTCTCCTCAAAACTACTAAATTTATTGAGTAGCGGCAGCTGCGAACATTTTGTCCGTCCCTCGTCTGTCCGTCGAGCTAAAAAATTGAAGTCATACAGGCAGTCTATGTACTAAAAATATAGAAGCAAGTGTAACGCTACTTCTTTACATGTGTTGCTACAGATTATTTGTTATGAAAGGATGTACGAATAAGAATTTGCAAATTTATTATCATGAGTATATTAGTGTATTTGCACATTTTCAAAAAAACTGCACAGGAGTGCATAATTCAAAAACTGGAACATTCAAATCCTACCAATAAGTTTATTAATAACTCTATTGAATAATTGTGTCATTTCAGTGCTGGTTGGACAAGCGGATGACATATATCGGTCATTCCAACGTAGATCTAAGCCTAATTGATTGTTGTGTATTAGTTTCTATTTTATTTGGGACGGTTATTTAAACGATAATATAGATGGTTACAAAGCTAAGATTAATCTTCGGTCACAGTTTCAGTCATGTTGTATTTTCTTTTTCGACCCAGCCCCAAATGCTGAACGAACTTGAGCGTTCTTACAAGCCTTCTGAAGTACCGAATAAGTAATACCACGTGTTTTGGCAGTTCCTTTTATAGAATCTATTTGGAGTCGGACTTCATTAACTGCTCTAGTTATATCTTCATCTGTATATTCTGTGGAGGGTTGACTCCCTGATCTAAATTTCGAACTGACTCCTGCCTTCTCACAAGCACTCCAAAGTGCACTCATAGGTATATTACATTTTTTGGAAGTTTCCAGTATAGAATCACCTCCTCGGATTAGCTCGACGGCTTCTGCGTCCAGTTCTGCTGGTGTATACTTATCTGAGCCAGGATTATTAGGTTTATATGAGGAGTCTAGACCGATTTTTTTCATATGCGACAAGACAGTCTTCTTGTGTAGTTTGACAATCTTTGCCGAACGACCAGCTGATTTGCCACTTTTCACTAATTCAATGGCTCTGAATTTTTTCCTTCTCAATTTGAGGTCTTCAGGTGATTTCCAGTAGCGATTTTCAGCAGGTTGCGGTTTGAGTTTGGCTGGAAAATAATAGTTTAAATTTGTAAAGCATATTCTTTATTACCATATGTATGTAGATTTAGAGAATTTTTCCGCTCACATTTGTCAACCAAAGCTGCACTTTTATCAATGTAAACGTTTATTTCATTCTGTAGTTGGTCGGTATTGGGAAGTTTGGAGAATAATTTCAGCACTTGATTGATGAGGTCGATCTTTAACGGCACATATCGAGTGGGGTCTGGATGATGTAGCTGCATCTCAAGTGCATACAAATTCCAGTGTTGGATCATCGGACCGTCCCCCCAAGACTTCATATAGGCTACAGTTGGTTGAGGCAGGACATCCGACTGGGAGAGGAGGTGTTCTCTGATAACGTATTCAAAGTTCGCCAGTTTTACCAGACAATATGAAGACTTGAGTGAGGATATAGCGCCCATGAAGATTCTGCAAAAATTCTTCAAGAACTGTGCATGATCCTCGTCACCTGAGCCAATATGGAGTGTCTTTCCATCTGATGGGGTGTAACAGTAGCCCCATTTGTAGACTCTTCTAAAAATAGTCAAGTAAACAATGTGCGAATATTAATAGTATGCAGGCTAACAAACATCAGAAAGTGTAGATTAATAATTTGTACCTTGCTGAGCATCCTATTCTCGGTGCTGAAAGAAATACGCTGTTAAATGTTAAATGGGATAGATTATATGCTGCTTTCAAAGCATCTTGGGTTGTTCTCCCAATCACGACGCATTCGGGAACGAATTCATGGTTTGACAACGGTATCATTAAGATTTGCTCCATATCAACTATATCTGCAAAAAAACATATGCGACTACTTTCTATATTTATTTAGGCAGGAAAGTAGGAAATAATATTTACCTGATGGAGATCCACTCTTGTCCAATACTGTCATTTCTGCATATCCAAGTTGATTTTTGTTCAATTTAAGAGTTGAATATTTAGGGCGTTGTACATCCATAAAGTCTGAAAACATGGATGGGTGTTCATGTATCTCGTGAGGTTTCCCTGGAAAGCAAATTATAAAGATTGATTAGTCGTCGGGAAACCTGATAATTTTATTCGTATATTAAACGAATAAATTATGTTACCTTTATCTAATAAGGCTGCAGCCATATCAAGGCAAGCATTTATCTCTTCTACTAAATGATCCGTCTTTGGAATAGTCGGTAAGAATTGTAAAATAGTGTTGACGAGGTCAATCTTCAATATGACGAATTCAGAAGGATTTGGATGAAAGAGTTGCAGCTCAGATGGAAAAAGATTCCAATGTTCGATCATAGGTCCGTCCCCCCATGACTTCATATAGTCTACAGTTGGTTGAGGCAGGACATCCGACGTCCCCAATAGATGGTACTTGAGTAGTTTTTCGAACCTGGCTAGACATCGAATACAGTCCGACGATTTGATTGAACAAATCGCGTTCATAAATATTCGCGTCCATTTCTTCAGTTGTATTGCAATATATGTAGATTTAGTAAGCATATATAAATGTTGGCTTGCGTTTGGGGCGTATTGATAACCGTATTTAAATGTTCTTCTGTAATTAATTAGAGTGAATAATCCAACAGTTATTCCAATCTGCATACCAAGGCACATAATAATTAGGAAATTTAATATTATGTACCTCGCCGAGCAGCCTTTTCTGCCATTTTTAGTCCTTTCTTTGTAAGAGGTATATCTACTTCGATGTTTCGAAACTTTGAGAAGATCTTTGTTTTTCGTGGTCCCAACGAGGACATTGTCCAACTGCCATTTATAGTCGGTTAGAGGGGTGACGAATATTCTGTGCATACCAGTTGTTCCTATAGAAGATTTGAATTATAAAGAATGCAATATTTCATATACATAAATAATTAATAAATCATAAAATTAGTTACCTTCTCCTTTTTTCAATCTCCTAACCATGATCTTTCCATTCTTATCGTAAAAAAATACAGGTGTGGTGGTTTGGACCGGAGATCAGGAATATCTGATAGTGAAACTATTATTTTTAATTTATCTACATTGTGTATTAAATTTGTTTTATTGAAAAATCACTATTTTGCTTACCTAATAGTGCATAACTTGATGAACTAGGGTGGTAATTTTCGACGAGATCTTCTTTGCCTTTTGGAATATAAATACTACAAGTTTAAATTGCGAAAATATAACCTCAATCACTTTTAATTAGTAAAACTTTCCTTCCGCTTATCGTATATACTATATTCAAACGTTATTATTTGTGTTTCACAAATATGTAAATTTGAAATGATTCAGATGGTAATGGACAAAAAATCTTGACATCGGCCATTCCGAATTAAAATATTTTAGATTTCTTGAATTGCCAGTAATTATTATTGGGCATACTATTTTATTTCAAATGTTTGTAATGGTATTAATTACGAGAAAATTGTTCAAACCTTTATCGGGATTACCATATTCATTTCGATGTTTAGAAAATGATTTCTTCCGATTTGATCCGGCGGTTGAACTTGTCTCCTTCTTCTGCAGCACGCTGTCTACAATTGATCTACATTCTTGACTGCATCTTTTGTATGGATTTAAATATGTTGACTGAACAGCTCCTGTCACTCCCACCGCGGCATGATCATGGATAATATCATCTTTACCTATTAGATTTTATTAATAATATAAAACTAGCCAGGAAAAAAGATATATGAAGATATATGATAAACGTGTAATAAAGGTAATTGAAATTTACTTGGCGTCATGATAGGATTCATTGGAACTCGAGAAGGCCCTTGGTCTCCAACTTTACGTTTGGAAATGACTCTCGTTTTTGGGCGGCTTCGAAGGGTTCCTGTTAATAGAAAACACTAAATTATATCTCTAATGCTTTTGTGGTAAAAGATTGAGATTTATATATTTGATTTGTGTTTAAACGATTATTCTACATAAAAATATAGCCGTATTTGAAAGCGAAGAAGAAGTACTTACTTGCAGTAGACTCTTCAGAGGAGGATGACCTTTCTTCGTCGGATGGACCGAACTCTGATTCTTCGCCAGATGACACGATGACTTTCTTGCGCTTCGGCATGTCTGCTATGCTTACCTTCGTATTACATTGTTAATTGTTGTATATTCGTTTATAACTGAATACGAGTATTTTCGAAAATAACATGCAGGTTTTATAAATCTTTATCTGTATCATAAAAAAAGTGTTGACAGTAAGAAGGCTTACTTCTTGGGCCGTTCTTTTTCCGCAGAATAATAGTTATTTAAACTGGTCTATATTAATTCGCAAGGGAAATAACACGTTTATCACAAATTCTTATTTTAATCATCAACTATTTATTTCTGGAAAATATTTCTGGATTGAGAACCAGTTGATAAACGTTTAGGGAACGTTGTTGCTTCCATGAGTGAGGCGACTGAGAGTGCTTTAGTAGCTGCTCTCCTATGACGATGCCTAGCTCATTCACTCATACAACGCAGTAAAACAAGTATCAACACGTTTTGGGCAAATTTGCGGTCGATTATATGCATGCTTAATTACTTTGAATATTTTTTCGTAAATTTAAGTAAATAGGTGAATTATGAATTTCAAAAAAACTATGATGAATATGTACAAATTTATGGCAGCAGATAGTTTGTTGTTCGATTTATTGAGCAACCCAATTAATAAATGTCTGATTTCTTATCAATGTAATTCTTTTCTAAAGGGTGGTCTCCACTCGTATATCCCTGTCACCGTCGTCCTACTACCAGAAGGGGTTCCCAATCCTGAAATCCAGCCACAAAACGCGACCTTCTTTGTGAAAGAGGATGCCCCCATTGGATCCATCATCACCACTTTTCGAATCTCCAACATCGAGGGGGCCAAGTTTAGAGTGGTTTCCTCCAACGAAGAGTATTTCCAGGTGGATCACAATGGAAATTTGTTGGTCAAAGGGAGACTCGATCAAGATAATGAGGATAAACATACGGTGAGTCGGATCTTGGCAATTTTTACACCAAAATTTATTCACTAATCGTATATACGAATTCCTTATCCAGAATATGTACTTTATACGGCCTTTTTAACACCATTATTTTGCGTGTGTTCCTTAATAATAATAATAATGGAACACTTCTGGCTTTTATTATTGCGTATTAATTATAATTGTAGTTCAGCACACACACACACAGACCCACCAATCCCCGAAAGAGTGTGTTTCTCTCCGATAACAAGTCTCGTTCTTCGTCTGGCAGCGTAAATGAGAGAGAAATTGCGTTAGAGAAAGGGGGAAAGTGTGGACGACAAGGCGCAACCAGTCAGAGAAAGTATTTAATAACTCGGTCATGCAATTATTCGCTAAATTGCTCCCATATTGCCAAGAAGGAAAGCAGCGTTCCACTACACAGCGCGCTGTTTAGTTGAGTGTAATAACTGCGTAAAGTTGGATTCATTGCGTATATGGACACGTGTTGTCCAACTTTCTACAGGGAACTGCTTTCTCCAAAAAGTCTCATGATCCGACGACGCTACATTTTCATGGTCTTTTTCTGGCTAGGCTGTCGAAAATATATGAACTCATTTTTAGAACTATTTTTTTGGTCAGGATTTAAATTCACTCCATGTTAAAAAGTAGGGTGGACAATTTGTCCAAATTAGTAATGTGCAAGTATAAACAAGCAATAAATATTTTTCTTTCACATCAAACAAGCAATTTATACCGTGCCCTTCCAAATGAGCAAACAACTTACTTTTTGGCGTAACATTTCTGCAACAAATTTTACTTTCTCTCTCTTTAAAAACCGCGTCGTCTGTGTATAACGATCCATTTAGAATTAACTTTCTCCATCCCATCAGGTAGAAATTTATGAGCAACAAAGAAAAGCAAAGAGCCCATAAAAATGTATATTTTTTTCCTCTCCGCTAAAATAGCACGGGGAAAAGAAGAAGAAGAGGTTGAGAAGAAAGTAATTCCTTCTCTAGATTTTATTGTGGTTTGGTTTAGTGGTCTGGTCACCATAATAATTTTTCATTCTCGCCCCGTACTCTATTTTATTTCTTCATATATGATGTTTCAGGTCGTTATCTGGGCGGAATCTGGCGATGGGACGAGCGTGGCTACGTCCCAAGTTACCATTCGTGTCTTCCAGGTAAAGCTAAACCTTCCCACCTGACCTGCATTCAGCTAATATTTATTTGGCTTACGTTTACCCCAAATAATCCAACCCGCCCGGAAATTGGTCATGATGGGAAAGGCTTATTTTTTGTATTATTTTTTATTAATAGTCGACCGGACGAAAGAGGCCGCCCGTCTTCCAGTCGCTGGAATATCAGGTGAAAGTGGCGGAAGACTTTCCCGAGGGGTCCCTCATTTTCACGGGTATGCAAATATTTAAGTAAAAACCGAATTTTTCTAGGGTCACATCATTACTAATTAGCCAACCGATTTTGTTTCCAGTCCGTGCCATAGATTCCGACAAGGGCAACAACATCAAGGAAAAGTACAGCCTCGTCCCGTCTAAAAGTGGACAGGAGACGAATCTCTTTTCCGTCAATCAAGAACACGGATGGATAACTTTGGTCAATAAGTTGGATTATGAGGTAAAGTGAGAAAGTGTCAGCTCCTACATAATTAATTATCCAGAAATGTCCCGTGTGTGTCCCATCATTCTTTCTACGAATCAAAAAATACGGCAACACGACAGTTTGATTCGTCTTGTTAGTTTTATCCAAAGTAATTGATTTATCGTTGTTGTGTGATCTACGCACACGAGTCTGAAATCCAAACCGGAGAAGACAAGATCCGACTCCACAATTTCGTCCGATGCATGCTTTCACCATTATGAACGGCACAATCTCAGACTTGGAGAAAGTTTGTAGACACATACACAACCTTGATTACTTACTTTCTCCAGCAGGAAGAGTTAATTAATTGTATTATTTATTTCTCCAGCTAAGGAAGGAGCACGTGCTACATGTCGTGGCAGCCGATGTGGATAAACCTTACCTTCAAACCACGGCCACTGTCACGCTAAGTGTGATCAATGTTCCCGATTGTCCAGTCTCCTTCGATACCACACACTATTTCTCCTCGGGTAAGTTTTTTTCTAAAATAGTGCAAGTAATTTTAGTGAGTCTATTTGTATGATAAGAAATTGCGATAACCTAACTAATTATAAACTGTACAAAAAATTTGGGAAACATCAATCAAATGGTGGCATAATTAAAAAAATATAATCCAACTACACAGTGCGAATGCGTACAAAGAAAAATGTGGCAATTTGTTATTAAATTTTTAAAACTTTTCAAAATTTGGTCACTGACGAATTAAAATAATTGTAAAAATTGTAGGTCAATTATAGTTTTTTTTGTAATTAAGAATAAAATTTTATACCATCACCAGATGGATGGTATTATCATCATCAACGGATAGAATAGCTTAGAAAAGTAAATCAAACTGCTACAGTTTGTCTATTCCGATAAACAAACGAATACGTAACACGGTCGCTTTTAGAAAGTAAATACTACGCATCATAAAATATATCCTAGTTTATTTCCTTGTTATTATTTCATGTGTTTCCACTTTCTCCAACTTTCACTTCCCTCCCTCCTCCTCCTCCTCCGCGGGATGTTGTTATATGCAGGAGGTCCTCCACTACTCCTGCTTCACAACAATAACTTTGCGCACCATCATTATCAGGAGACTCATAAAATCTTGGGCAACTTGAAAGGGTATAAATAGGCCGTGAATAATGTGATTTCTCGGAATGATGTAATATGTAAATTTGTAACATTACATTATATTACAAAACTTTATAATGAATTATACCATCATCCACTACATAACAACAAATAGCATTTTCCTGTCGGGCACACTCAAGAGCTAGATAAATCAAGTGGGAGGGAAACTTGGGCCTTTTTGAGGGAGGGTGCTTTCACTCCCTTTCATGAATCCATGTACATACAATTGCAGCCCATTATTTAGCTCGTGAAAAATGAGAAATTCCTTTTCTGTATCGGTTTATGTGTGGAATTCAATTCTTGCATGTCGTCAGTATCAAGGAAATTATTTATAAGTTATGTCGTTAGATCTTTAGTTTTGATGAAAATTGTGCAATTTCCTATTTTGTACAGATTCAGTGTCGAAAAATGAAAATATTGGTAAAATCATGTTCATTGAAAGAGAATACAAGATACGTTGAAACGAACCAGGCTTTGTTTGAGTCCCCTAATAAAACGCAAAAAGTTACACAGGCAAAACTTATGATGATAATTGTTTTTATAATTGTTGATAAAGTTTTGATAATATTTGTTATGATGATTTTGTTCATATCTTGATTTCAATTCAAAATCTAACCTAATCCCTTGCATAGTGTAGATGAAAGCATTTGAAAAATGAATCAAGTTATAATCCTCATACACCGCTTAAAAAATGGTTATTAATGGGAATATTTTTGTTTAATCTTAGTCCGTGAAGACGTCCCTGAAGGAACGGTGATCGCCACGGTACACGCCATTGATTTGGACAACTCTGCAAGCAATAAGAATGGGCCGGAATCATCCACCCTGTCCTCCTCGTCATCTTCCTCCTCCATAGTTTCCAACTATTTGGCATACTTCATAATTGACGGGAATGACGAAGGACATTTCAAGGTAAACGAAATTATGGTTTAATGAAGGGTGGCGTTTGCCATCGTGACTTCCGTGAAGCTCACTTTCTCAGTGAAAGCTGTTAATAAGTTATGAGTGAAAATATGAATCTGATACCCGGATCAGATCCCAAATCCAATTTACTCTCCTCTAACTTTCACTCTTGATTATTCAAGGTTTTCATACGAAATCTTGGACGGATTTGATTTTCATTAGGCATCCTTTATGAAAACATTATTCCAATTGTTATTTTTATCGCTTATCCAGATAAACGATCGTGGCGAACTTAGCATATGGCGTGGCCTGGATTACGAACAAGTTCAAAAGTACGAGCTACGAATCGTAGCAACTGACGGGTTTTTCACCGACTTTGCAAACGTTACTGTCAACCTGATGGATGTGAACGGTACGCACTCTATTATGCAACTAATCATAATTTTGACAATTAAAATAGGATATAATTTACATATAATTTAATTTCGTATGCACATAATTAACTACAATTCCAGATAACTCTCCCGTCTGCACGTTCCCCGAGTATGACGCCGAACTCTCGGAAAGTGTCGCCATTGGGACGTACGTCGTCACGGTGGAAGCTCATGATCCCGATCTCGGTAAGTTTCTCTTCCGATTTGACTAAGATTATTAATTAATTAATCGATTTTCCAATTAAGTTTAGTACTCGATTGAAATCTGACTAAACCAGTTTGGCAACCATGGCCACGGTTAGGTCGCTATTAGCAACCAACTCAGCAGAATCTAGGCACGCCATAGCACTAAATCTCCTCTCACTCAGCTATCCGGAGAAAGTTATAATTGCAATAATAATGCAAATATTCGTGTACTTTCTCCCCGTAAATATTAACCCCGTAAACATTTCGAGTATGTCACAGAGCATCCTGTTTTGAAAGTGAGGCAGGAGTCGACATCCGCTGCAAACACAGCTCTCTCTCTCTCCATTCCTCCAACTACTTAAGCCATGTTAAGCCCTCATAAGATTTTCATTCCAAAATCCTGGAGAATTTGATTACTTTCCCGTTCCGTTGTGGACACACATAACACGGAAGAGCAGAACACAGCGACAGAAAGAGAAAGTTCTGTTCGTTATTCTGATTCAAATTGGATTGGATTCTGTAGTATTTCTACTTTCTCTGTCTCATTACTTTCTCATGGTTTTGTTCCACTTTACTCGGGATACTTTGTTCTTGTAAAATGAAATGATGAGCCTCGACCGGCCTCCTCCTGTAATTCTACTCTCTCTCCTCCACTCCTCCATTCCTCCAGTTTACTTGCTACTTTAAAACCAGGATAATTAAAGGTCCTCGAAAATGTAATGGGAAACTCGATCCTTTTACATGCACTCTTTTTAATGCAGATTGTCTTGTAAAGTAGGTTTTAAAACGGAGCAGAAAGGACTCTCGTTTATTTTATTTTTCTATCAAAATAAATACGTATACACAAAATATACAAAAAAAATCTCACAAAGTTTCCTAATTATTTTCCCGTCAGTCACTCGCGACACAGAGCAAAACGTTGCACACAGCAAGGTCGGCCGCTTATCAATTAGTGGCAGAAGAGAGTCAAGTGTCTCGAGGATAACAGATGATTTAATAGTCAAGTCACTCGATCCTCTTTAGAAATACGGGCCCTTCTCCGCCTACCGCTTTGTCTCTCAAATTAGAAAATAAACTACTTAATTTTACAAAAGCCTTTGTCATTATTATTTACTGACGGAGAAGGAAAGTGCGCGAGTGAAAGGAGTCAATAATAGATTACTTTGTTCTTGGAGGAACAAAGAATAGAAAATTAAGCTTGATCCATTTTTGATTCATTGTTTCGTTCCATTGAGTAACAAACTCGCCAAGAATTTCGTAATACGTACTCGAAATAAGTGGAATGCAAATAACCAATTTTTTTCCCCAGGTGCTCTCGCCCCACGTTTCTCCCTGGCTGGAGATGGTGCCCAACATTTCGACATCCACCGAGAAACTGGCGCCGTAACGACGCGGATCAGACTGGACCGTGAGACTAAACCATTTTACAATCTTATCGCATACGCAGAAGACAGCGAAAGTGGGGAAGCTTGTCGAGTGGATTTGAAGATAACTGTTGCCGACGAAAATGACTCAGAACCCAGGTCAGTGACATGCTTACTTTCACCTTCATAAATAGAAATGAAAAGGATTATGCAAATTAGTCGGATGAATTGTTACGTAACGTTCGTCCATCAACGTATGCATATAAATATTGTATGCATGCATAATTTTAATCCCCAGATTCTCAGAGGATCTGTACATCGTCACTGTGAAGGAGGATGCTCCAGTCGGGGTAAGATTGCAAAATGTCTGCTTAAAATATGGTAAAGTGGTTTACATATAATAAAATACCCGGGTATTGTACGTGTCCATGCAGGCCTTAATCGGGAAGGTACACGCGGATGATGCAGACGCCGGGATAAATCGACGCGTCCGTTATTCTCTAGTCTCCGTTGTGTCGAGTACCTCTGGGGCCTCGGTGATTGATGACCAATTCTCGTTAGATTCTAATTCAGGGGTGATTTCGCTTCTTAGACCGCTCGACAGGGAACTTGTGCCCGGATATAATCTCACCCTCCAGGTATGCATGTTGTGCTCTTGACTTATTTGTCGTCCTCTTCTCTGCTGTGATCAATCTTTGTCGCTGCTGGGCCACGAAATGTGACGTGATACATTTTCTTAACGACGATTCTGGGGCACTGTTAGAATGATGTCCTTGTTTATGTATTTCTTTATGGAACACTTTACACGGAAAGTGGTGCTATCATCGCATCTAATATTTATGTTTTCCACCAGGCCACCGATGGAGGTATACCGCCGCAATCAAGTGTCGTCGATGTGTCCATTATGGTCGCGGACGTTAATGATAATCCTCCCGAGTTTGCGTTCAACTATTATTCAGCCACGATATCTGAGCTGGCCCCCATTTCCACGGAGGTCGCAAGGATGTAAGTTTAAAATTGGGGAATTTATCCTTTAAAATTTCTTCCGCTGAGATTTTTCAAGTTTAAATCCCCCAAATGACCCCACATCGTGCTAAACTATATAGTTGCATACATTATTCCAGACTCGCCACGTCGAAAGACATCGGAATAAATGCTGACATCACGTACGACATCGTGGGTGGGAATGGCTACTCGCATTTTGGAATTCATCCCAAATCAGGGGTCATATTTGTCTCAGCGGGTCTCGACTATGAGCGAATTCGAGAATATGTGCTCTCCGTAAGAGCGCGAGATGGTGGGTCACCTCCCCTCGCTTCCCAGGCGCTGGTCAATATCTCGCTGATCGACCAAAATGACAATGCCCCGCAATTCAGTGGGGGTGGGGCCGGCTATTCGGTTCAGATTCCTGAGGATGCGCCAATTGCGACGTCTGTGATTCAGGTGCGTACAGATAATTCGGTTGTTTTGCTAGCACGTGTTGAACTAAATGTGTACGTGTACATATAATTTTTTTTACCATGCAGATTCAAGCCGCTGACCTAGACAGCGGGGTAAACTCAAGAATTTCATACCAACTTGGGACCGGGGACAGGATGAAACATTTCAAAATCGACGCGCACAATGGCATCGTTTCAGTAGCGTCGGCACTAGATCGAGAAATGGTAAGAAATTCAAAATCTCATAAAAAGTTTATATTTCTCATAATAATTGAAAACTGGGTGATCGTGGAATTCTTAAATTAATTGAATTCTTGGCGATAAAGTTATCAATCTTCGCGTTGAGGGAAAATTGGAGAAACCTGTTGTTGGTGGTCAGCTTGATGGTCTTGTCATACTTGTCCACCCACCTCTTTTAGCCATCAAACTGTGACGAGATTTAATGAAAAGTCAACTTTCCAATTATGAGAGAGAGGGATTGAGCAGGAGAGGGAGAAAGTAATCCATCTTTTTTAAAGTGACAGCAACGTGGGGTTTGTGCAGGGGCGACATGCGTGGTCACTGGTCACTCAGTCACTTGGATATATATTTCTTGCTCATAGAATCAGAGTAAGGGAAATTGATTGAGCTGTTGAGCTTAGGTTTTTACACCGTCGTTCCCGGTGTGAAAATGTTCATGAAGGAAATCAAACTGAGAATGAGCAATTTTTAACGTGAAACTTGAGAAGTTAAAGAAAAGTTATTGTGAATCGTGATGTAAAATGTTAATTACGGTGAAAGTACAAAAATTTATGACGCAAAAGTTTTAAATGGAATATTGTCCCTTTTCATCCACAGATTTCGCACTATTCTCTCGAAGTGTGGGCCGTTGATGCAGGCACTCCACCCCTTTCATCATCCACCCACGTGGAAATTTACGTGCTCGACTGTAACGACTCGCCCCCATTGATTCGTGTTCCCACGGATGAACTCATCGTACAAGAAGATCGCCCAATTGGCTACACGATTCACAAATTTGTCGTCTCCGACGCTGACGCAGCGCCCAACAGCGAACCATTCTCGTGGGATTTGCGCGACGCGGAGAGACGCTCGTCTTCCACTTCCGGTTCTTCATCCTCGCTTCCCTTCACCGTCTCGGAATCTGGCATGTTAAACGTCGCCGGGAAGCTGAACTCCCAAAGAAAACCTGTTTACCGACTTCTGCTCCGCGTTTTTGACAATGGCGACCCTCCGTTATATTCCGACGCCAATATCACCGTCAAAGTCGTCGACAAGTCTCAGTGGCCCCCAGTCGTGTCCACGCTAACGGTGACTGCCATCACGGCCGACGAAACCTACCCGGCTGGAATTCCTCTGGGAAAAGTGCACGCGTCTGACTTTGATCCATACGATATTCTCCTCTATTCCTTGGTCGACACTCCCTCATCGACACATTTCATGATTGACGCGGCAAATGGGACCCTGAAAAGCTTGACCCCGTTGAAATCTGGAACGTACGAGTTGGGCGTGACGGTGTCGGATGGGAGATGGACAGCGCGAGGAGATGCGTACATTCGGGTGGTGACTTTAGCTAGTTTAATACCCGATATGAAATTAGACGGGGATCATGGAGGCAAGACGGATGGTGAAAATTGGGTAAATAATTGATTTCTTGTTGTTAAACCGGAAGTCGATATAGTTAATTTAATTAATAATTTCTTTCCATTTTAAGAAGTCGACCTCCACCTCGACGACGACATCATTTAAGAAAAAGAGCCGCAAAGACATCAGCGCTTTTGCAGTCGTCCTCACATTAAAAGGGCACAACCCGCAAAGCCTGCTTACCAGGATTTTTGCCTTAATCAACGCCATAAAGGAATCCATGGGCTTGGAGCCGAATGGTGTCTCAATCTACGACGTCGTCATCTTATCCGTACAATCCTCCAAACGGGCAGAAGACTACTCCTCATCACCATCAGCAGCCACTTCCGGCGTCCGGCGGGTCCGACGTGGTGACGACGAAAATGCGAATAATAACACCATGAGTGACGCCATCATTAGTGACACCATCCCATCCGTCGATATACTCCTCTCCGTGCGTAAAAGCACTGATGGATCTTTTGTCAACCCGTCCGAATTAATGAAAAAATTGAAGTTTGCCCTCCCACAAATCGAATCTGTTATGAGTGCAAAAGTCACAAGATTAACGTTCGATGTTTGTAAAGAAAATTCATGCGATCGGGGACAGTAAGTGCATTTTACAATATTTCTGATACACAAAAAATGGCACATTCTCACACCACAAAATATATAAATATTTGCTCAGACGACATAAATATGAATCATAACCTTTTACTTGGAGAAAGTAGAGCAGGAGGACATGTTAAGTAATCAAATCATTTATTCCATTGAGATGAAAGTGGTTTGTTTTGGTTAAATACATATTTCACGGAAATGGAGTGGACGACAAAAGTCGACCCTTTCACATAGTCTTCCTGGTCTCCGGTCATCTATCAGACTTAGCACAGTCGACTCTCTCGCAGTCACCACTTCTTCATTTACACTCCACTCCAATCCAGTAGTCCATACGTACGAAAAAAAACAGAAAAGAAACTACAAAAAGGAATGGTATGTATAAAGACCACAAAAAATTATGTAGTTCAGACAAACGAGGACGAGCAGAGTGAGGTATTATTATCAGCATCGTCGTCACCATCACATGAGGAAAGAAAAAACTTGGCCAAAATTCCTCAGAGAGAGAAAGCAGCAGCATGATGCAGCATTCGGCACGAGAATCATGCCGATCATCATTCCAATTCAAACAGTACATTAAATCATTCCGTCATTCTCTTTTTTTTCTTGGAATTCGATACATACACATAAAAAGTATGACTTTTCCTTCTCTCTCACAAAGACGGAGGATCATCAATTCTTGTCCTTTCCATTTTTTTGCTAGTAAACTACTCCCAATTTTTCATTCAATACTTCTTTCTCTGCCTGGAATTTGTTTCGACTTGCACGAAAACATAAATGTTATTCCAATTCGTGCGAATTTTTCCCCTCGAGATTTTCATATGCATGAAATCAATCAATTTCATATTCCATTCACACAAGTGGGATATGTGTCATGTAGGATTTGTCAATTTTTGCATAACAATATTGAATTTTTTGCAATTTGTTTTGTAAAAAAAACATGACCTCATATTTTTACAGATGCCGCACAGTTGCAACCTTTGAAGGGACACAGTCTCTCATTTCGACCGAAACTTTAAGTCTAATTACACCTAATCACTTGTTGGAGGTCGTCTGCTTCTGTCCGCCGGGTTTTGGAGGTAAATAAATAAGTTTCTGAAACACATAAGTACACTTTTTATATTCAGGAAGAAACTTTGAATAAAATTGGCTCCTCGTGTATGTGCAGGTCCCCGATGTGAGAAAGTAATAAATGCCTGTGCCCATTCGGAATGCATGGCGGGGTACGTTTGCCTCCCCGACTCTTCGCCAAAAGGTTATGCGTGCCTATGTCGCAAGATTTACTGTCCTCCTGGGGGCATGTGTGAGGAAGACGATCACTGCGCCCAACAATCCGTCTCCTTCAGGTAATGTGGTAATAATAATATCACACACACAGACAGACAGACAAAGAAAAGAACGCCGCGAGATCCCGACAGACCAATTAATACGTCTTCCAGACAGACCAGAAGAATTTAAGGAATCATTTCACATTATTCTTGACTCGACTGTGGGGACAAATACTGCAGAACGCTTGCCATTTTATTTTAAATAATTCTAATATGTATGCATGTACTTATTTCAGTGGTCGAAGCTTCTTGGCGTACAACGTGGGTCCCAGTTTGGAGAGAGAGTTGAGTATTTCGATAAAAATCAAAACTCTGTACACGGCCGGAACGATTCTTCACTCGTTCGGACATTTTGATTATGCTCTTCTCGAGGTAAGTTGAGATGTCAAGGTTGAAATGTTATGAGTATCTATTAATTAATTAACGGTTAATGATCACGCATTTTATTATTTTGCTACGTTTTTAAGACCATGGTTTGCGTACTTGTTCTATTACACGTGCTCTCACATTACATGCACAATTAGGTTAAAAGGTTAAAACTATTTCCTCCTGGCTCTATCACATTTCATGATTTATATTCTCAAAACTTCTCTCTCTCTCTAAAGTAAATGTTTGTGTATTATCATATCCTGTCTTTTACGTACGTACCTACCTATGTCATTTGACTAGATAATTTCACATGACATCCCCACAAAATCACACCTCGAGCACTTTCCCCATAATTTGAATCCAGAGGAGTTTGAGTTATTTATGACAATTTATAAGCCACCCACGGTAAGTTATGAAGTAATAAAACTCGTACAAATATAATGTCACATTTTTTAAGCTCATTACAATTTTCTCCGCCTGCCTCGAGCTGTACTTGCTCTAATAAAATATTTCTTCTGTGGAACAAAACGCCCCAAGAAATCGTACCTAGGGAGCAGTCCGATTATATTAAGTGGAGTTTTGCATGTGTAATAAAATTGACCCCATTTAAATACATGCTTTCTATTTATGACATGTCTGTGGTCTGGTCGGGGTGTTGGATTATGAAGAGGCAGTAACGTCGTGTAGGATTATGTTGTGGAGAGAGAAAGCATTATTGCAGTCATAAAGTGGTGGCCCGTTTTGTGGTTTAGAGCCCGTTAATCCCTCTCATGACCTATTATTCATGAGACAATAATAAAATCATCCTTTTCCGGAGGTCGGCCCGGAAATGGTGTGCGATCGCGTACCCTTCCTCAACGGCGACAGGGTTAAAGCAACCCAACAGAGCTGGGATATTATTCATGTACAGTAACTAAAACTATGTATGTAGGCAAATTCAGTCTAGAATTGAGTTGGTGTAGCACTTACCATGATATGGGACAGGATTTGCATAATAATCATAATTTATCGGGATAAGGAAGTGGGGATTTAGCAGAATGACCCAGTCGCACATTTTCATCGTCTAAAACAATGTAAATACACGTGGTCCCATGTAGCACAACCTTTTTGTAATTAATTCAATAATACTGTCGCTCAAAATCTTTAACTTTCACCTTGCTTGCCTGCACATTAGGATAATAAAAATATGCATCGATCATCAACCTACTCAATTTTGCAAGTCTTAACAAATTAAAAAAAAGATTGTTAAATATCACGTCTTATTTTTCTCTAGATTCGCCAAGGCCTTGTCCAATTTTCATGGGATCTCGGCACCGGGAAAGAAGTTCTCACCGTGACATCCATCTCCGTGTCGGTTAGTTATAAAGGATGGCAAAGATTATTTGTATGTATGTATCTCTAACCCGAACAGGACAATCGCTGGCACCGAATAATTCTCCACCTTCGCGACAATCGTGCCGTCCTTTCAGTCGATGAGCGGTCCCGAGCAGGCAGCGCACGATCTCCCGGAGCGGCAAGGTCACTTCATACCGGCGGAATTCTGTACATTGGTGCAAAGATTATAGGGCTTCACGGCTCCACGTTGGAGAGTCTCATCCCAGCGCAAGGTTTCATCGGGTGTATGAAAGACCTGCGGTACGGTTACCTTCACCACCAGACGGGACCAGGGTCCAGCTCAGACCTGCACATTCAGGAAGTGAAACATTACATAACTCCGGGAATCAATCGTATCGACTTGGACGGGATAGATAAGAATTTAGACTTGGAAGATGTTGATGACACCGATCAGGATAACTTTGATCAGGATGTGAACAGCAAGAACAAGAATGATAATGCAGGAGGGATTTCGGGTAGAATGGCTCCGCTACCGTTCCATTCGTCGGACAGTGATCGAATGGGTATGGACATGCACAAGTTCAAAATTAGTTGTGCATCTCACATTATTTGGTTTCATTTTATAATAATTAATGCTCCATTTAGGGTCTCATCTACTCTGGTCTCGCAACGTGTCATTCTCATGTGAAAGAATTCTCCATGTTGTGGAAGCCTGTCGAAGCCAACCCTGTCTGAATGGAGGGTCTTGTTCAGAAGACCGACTTTCCACCCCGACATCCAGCGGAGCAGGCACCGGGTTCAGATGTGATTGTCCTTCAAGATTCCACGGACATAACTGTGAACATGATTTGGATCCTTGTGGATCACAACCGTGCTTAAATGGGGGCACGTGCACTCCAACAGGTAATAATTTGTTAATATGTACGAATTAATACAAAATTCTTGATATCTAAATTATTTATACAGCAACCGAGTCTACTTCTGATCGAGGAAATGGAGCGTCTTTCTCCCCATCGCTCGTGTCCAGCAGTGGTGCTGGTGGTGAATGGTTATCGGAACCACAGTTTTTGTGCCTATGTCCTCCAGGCACGTTTGGATCTCGTTGTGAACGGGGTCGTTGGTGCAAAAATTCGGAAATGGGAGGAACTGATTCCTTATCAACGGCGGACTTGGTGCGGCTTTCCTCCGATTCCGGCGTGGGTGGTGGTGATGACGGAAGAGAAGAAGTTTGCAAACATCACGGTGAATGCGAAGATGGTCCGTCAGGTCCGATTTGTTGGTGTGCAGGTGGATACACGGGGGCCACTTGTCAGCTTGATATTGTAAGACCAAATTCCGTCCCAAATTTTTCGTCCGTCCGAAGTAAATATTCATACTTCTTAATGTTTCCAGAATGAATGTGAACGCGGTGACGCATGCGGACCAGCCTCGACCTGCATAAATTTTGCTGGTGGATTCCGATGCCTCTGTCCCGCAAATGCGACTGGGTTACGATGTAACCGCATCTTAACGGCACCTTCCATTATCGTGTCAGACTATCAAGACCTCATTCTCATCGTTGTCTTTGTCATCGTCACCTCGGTCACTTTTATCGTCGCGTTTATTCTCGTGAGGAGGTGTTGCATTGCGAGAGAAAGAGGGGGTCAGTCAAACGGCATTGCACTCACGGCAACGAGGGGATTAAAAGATAATGGGTAAGTAACTTATCATTTAAGCTTCCTGTTTACGGAACTAACTCCCCGTTTCCTTTTCTCCAGACACACAAAAGATAACCGCGATCGTGACACGAGTAACCGAGAAGCACAACAACTCTTGAGAAATCGTGACTCTAAAATTTCTAATTTGGAAGTCCGTCCCGTTTCTGCAACGTCAGACCTTTTCACGGGCGAATTAGAGCCAGAAAATAACAAACCGGGAACGTTTATCAATAACTTGATGAAAGGGAGTTCTACTTCGGGAGGAGGAATGATGATGACACCCATGAAGGATAAGGGATGCTCCACTTTGACACATTGGGATCCAAATCGGGACGATTATGATAACAAAGTACAAAATTGTAAGAGAAACGGAGCTTTATTTACAAAACATTTTTTAACACTTATCTTATTTAACAATTTTCCTACATTCTCCAGACATGAAGGGTGACCTCAATTGGGCCCCGCGACCCAACGCTACGGGTACCTCGTCCAAACCCGGTTCCCCCGTTTCCGACGGGTACCACTGGGACCATTCCGATCTCACCCAACAACCGCACAACATTTCCCCCACAAACACACTCCCCCCACCCCCCGCAGATATTCCCGATATCCGTATCTCAAATGGTGGTCATCATCGTCACCATCTTCACAAAAATCCTCCCAGTAACAACTTGGATCTCCCGTCTTCCTCTTCCACTCCCGGGGGTCCAGTGACCATTAACTTGGCCGCGTTACCACCCCCGCACGAAACTTCTCTCCCATATTTTGACGACGCCGTGATCGGAACTAGTCTCGATGATGTTACCCCTGAAGAAGAATTGCCTGGAAATCGTTCCCCTCGAAATTGGCAAATCCTTCACCCTGATCAGTATTTACTTCCGCATACACAAAGTGGTGGTGACGATGTTTACGACCCTTCCACCGGGCTTTGTTCTTGCCCACAATTAAGATCCGAGGTGGAACAACACGTCCCTCCACCGGCACCCGTAGCTATTCGAAACCGCTACAAAGACAAAACACCTTCAAAAGGAAATAGCAAAGCTAAACTTTTGAAAGAACAGCAGCAGCAACATGAAGACGATGAAAATTCTTCCTTGTTATTGAACGGGAGTGGAAATAACCCTTCGATAACATCGTCGTCATCTTCGTCGAAATTATCGAGTAAAATTCCACGTAGACAAAATTTAACGGGTCAACAACCTCAACAGAGCCCAAATTCCAATAATTCTTCTTCCAATGCAAAAACTACGGCTACTCATGTAACACAAGTTTGACATGTACAGAAGGAATGTTTAGTTTACGTTATTAAGACATCGGACTGTTAAAATTATTTATAATGTAATCAGTTAAATTTCTCATATTTTGTTAGTCGCGTGACAAGTAAGTTACGATGTCAAAAACCCTGCCATAATTTTTGTGACGATTTTTTTTACCAGAGTTATAAGTAATATAACAATTTTGTGTTCATAATTTCTTGTCGATATGCAATTCCTTCGTGACGAATCCTCAATTTCTTGTCATCGTCACCCCTCTCAAATTGGTGCTATCCTACTAGCTAACTTTATCGTAGCGTGTAAAAATAACCTGCCATTTGAAAACCGGAAATATACCTCTAGCCGAGTAATTAACTTTCAATTTCCGAACTTACGATAGTGGAGAACCCAGATAAAAAAGACTGTTTAAAATATAATGTTAGAAAACCCTTCTACATAGAACATTATTTGTTACAGAAATCTAACCCACATTTCTATAAAAGTGCCTAAAACGGAGAAAAATCATTAAATAAAATGTGTATGCAGGTATTTAAATTGTTTAAAAAAACTTTAAAAATCTCGTAATTATATGTAAATAATCATTCATTCTGTGTGCCCTGAAACAAACAATTATCCCGAATGTACTACATACCTGCGTATGTATAAATAATTAATTAATGTCATAAAACGTACAACTAAAGTAAATTTTGAAAAAAATCTTTTACTTTATTTTGTATTGTCAACTTTAAACAAAATGAGATTAATATTTTCTCTACCTATTTCTACTCAACTTTTTCTCTACTCTGACTATTTATATAAATTGAATTCAAATCAACTTAATGTTGTGTAGCAAGATGATGCAAATATAAAATTACGTAATTACGTAATAATTTATTTACATGTCTAATATAGTTGACTGAGAAGAACTGAATATCTGTCAAAAAAATCTCATTGTATTATTAATTGTAAGAAGTCGTATTGTAAGAGAAGGTTCGAAGTTAAATGAATTCGCATAGCTGCTTTTTGAAACTTATTTACTTATCGGGGAGCAATTTAATTTGTGTATATTAAAAATGTACATAATTTATGTAAATGATCTTTTTATTAATTTACTATTTTACACGCGGATGAAAGTGTTGTCTGTTTTGCTACTCTCTTGTTCTTTGAGTGCAAGCGATATTGTGAAAATAACGAAAAGTGTATAAATTAAAAAGTCGTTTTTTTGCTATATTTGTTATATTTACATTTGTGTGATTTTGATATTACGGAAGTATTTAGGTGTAAAAATAGGCTTGTATAAAAATCGAATTATTTGTTCTTTTATTTTCTGCAAAAAAAACTAGTCGTACAATTTAATAATATTGTCACAGAGAAAGAAAATGAGCTAAAACGAAAGAAATTATTGGTAACGTATTTAAATATGTAATGTATAATCTTAAATCGCATGAATCATCATTATCGTATAATTATAAATCGTGGTATAAATGTTGAATTATTAGTTAAATGACATGAAAAAGTTTACATAATACGTGCAACTCCTCCCGTAAATATATTATGATACAAATATTTATGAATATTATGACAAGTTTTTTTTAGATATTGGTAAATTGATATTCAAAATGGTTGCTGATTTTAAAAAATAAATGAATAAAAAGAACATACGAAATAAAACACTGTTGATTTGATTATTAATTTACTTCAAAATCATAAGCGTGGCATTGAGAGGATGAAATTGAAGCGTGTGTGGTCTAATTTCATTTAAATTTCATCAATCTAACTTTGTACCAACAACAAAAGAACGGTTTATTTCCACTTTATGAATTCTTCCCTTGTCTGAGACATCATAAATCATCTCCCAAATCATGAGACCTTGGGTAATTAACATCAATAAATAAATTCCCCACGTTGCACATAAAGTTGAACTTTGTACCCACACATGATTTTAAAATGCATGTATTTCATATTTTACTTTTAGATGAGACGAGGTTAAAGGAAAAATCAAAATTATTACCAATTGTTGTCTGCTCACAATGTCTAATTTGATGTCATTAGAGCGAAAAAATGCATACATTCATCCGTAGTGGATCCTTGTTTAGTAAATATTTGAGTGAAAACAATGGCACCGAAATTTAAGCCTCATCCTCGTCCGTGTGTAAGTAAGTAACTGCGTATAAGCGTATGCATATGTGCTACTACCCGGTATATAGCATAGGAATCAATGCTGGGACACGTTTCCTCTTCAAAACTAAAACTCGGGTCGGGTTTTCTTTTCTTTCCTCTCCGAACTTCATCTCCTTCTTCCATCCGTGCCTCGATTACTTCCAAAATAAATGTAGCATTAGAAATAAATTCAGTAAAACGATACAATTTATTATCGCGTGGATCTAAATTTCATACATTCTCACTCGTGGTGGGTGTGCGTCCTCTTTAAGCTGTGCAAATTAAGTGGTTGGTGGTGCCAAGAAAGCGAAATCGCATAAAGTAGAGTTTTGCGAATCAGTAAAAGTTCACATAAGAACATAAATACATACGTGCATCAGTAAAGTATTAGCAAATGACATGAATATCGAACTACTTTTTTCTTAAGGATATTTTGCGATGGTGTGATGATCCCGGGTACGTCACGCGTCCATCCCGTACATCCATTCGTACATATGTATATATATTTAGTTGCAGTTTTGCATATGTATGTGAATTTCGCATGGTTTGATTGAACTTTGAGACGAAGAAGGGCGACATGCAGTATTGCAAGTAGTGTGTACATACATAGAATAGTGACAATTTTACTGACATATCATCACAACAACATACTTAATACATTAAGATAACATTGAAAATTATGCACATTTAGTTTTATGCATGAAGACCAATCAAATCCAGGGGTGTAATCGAAATCAATGAAATAGAGAAACATAAAAGTTGACTTTTTGAGACAAGTAGAAGTAGAGCATGTAAAGGGCAAGAACAATGAGCAGGACAAGGAACACTTTGCAACACATTTACATGAGTACGTAACGACGAGCCAGTTAATTTAGTGAGATTTTGCTCAAGTGGTATCAATTGAGATTCATAAATATAACAAATTGTGCTTTTGTTTAAGAGATTTAATAAAGATTCAATTCATGCAGTGTTTCGTGATGTGATGTGATTTCAGTTTTTTTTGGTACTGCATATTTACTCTTGGATTATTTAGTTGATTAGTAAATACGTAAAGGCTTCCCTGATCGGAATACGAAATCTCAAAGTGGAATGCACATGGAATTTAATCCTGTGGAAAGATTTATTCCCAGAACCAGACTAAAAGTGTAACGTGTAGATAACTTCGAATATTTATTGTATAAAAATATCCTGTTAGAAGTTTAGTTTGTAAAATGACTCAAAAAATGGAAGGATTCGACGGAGTTTTAAATCAGGTCGGGACATTTGGGCGATTCCAAGGTTTAGTCCTGTTCTGCATGACGATACAAGTGAGTGAATAATGGTAATAAACTAAACTTATGAGATTAATGAGTATTATCGCTTTAAACATTAGGCTTTCCTCTCATGGCACCACTTGTCGGCCGTATTCCTCGCCGCAGTTCCACCGCATTGGTGCAAAGTAGACGATTTGGATGAATCGGGCTGGACTTTGGAACAAATTCGCAACTTTTCTATACCAAAATCTGCCAGGTACATACATATTTAAAAGATGCAAATATTGCAAAAATTCTATTTGCACATTTTTTCATGCGTCAGAGCTGGATCTCCTTACGCGTGGGAGCCTTGCTCGTACTATGATTTCAACTACACTCAAATTCTGACCGAGTCCGGATCGTCGTTTGAGACTGCTTTCTCCTCAACTTTCACTTCCGGTGATGACGACGGTACGACCCTTCCCGTTAAGGAGTGTGTCACCGAGTGGAACTGGGACAGAAGTGTGTACAACTCGACAGTAGTTTCGCAAGTACATAGATAATTCTACTGCAAAGATTTCCAGTTTTTTCGCATTTTGAATTTTCTAACTTTCTTTCAATTCCTTCAGTTCAATCTCGTCTGCCATCGTCGCCTCCTCGTCGGTACGATTCAAGGCACTTACATGGGTGGCGTGCTTATCGGGTCACTATTCTTTGGCTCACTATCTGACCAGTGAGCCACGCTCAAAGCCAGAAATTAATTTACACTATAATTTCTATGTCCTTTCACCTCCGCAGAATTCTAGGACGACGTCGATCCGCCCTAATTTCTCTGTTTGTCTCGCTCTTTGGCGGATTTGGTTCGGGGCTGGTAACTTCTTATCAATTGTTTCTCCTCTTCCGATTCATCTTAGCAGCCGGGGTGGCCGGAAGTTATCAAAATTGCTACGTTCTAAGTAACTGGATAATTTTATTTGAGGGTAAAAACAGATATATCATTGTTTTTTTGTCTTATCAGTGTTGGAATATGCCAACCCAGCAGCCCGTGCCAGTCTTGGATTGCTCGGCCAATTATCTTTCGCCTTGGGATACATGATGCTAGCTGTTTTGGGGTATTTCTTCAGAAGCTGGGAAGATTTTCAGTTAGTCTCCACCGGGATTGGACTTGCTCTGATTTCATATTACTGGTAATTAAGTTGTAGACCGGAAGTGGTAATCCATAATTTTTAACAATCACATATTTTCCATGAAGGATCCTCCCAGAATCCGCACGTTGGCTGTTGCATCGTGGTGATTATGATGCTGCATACAAAACGCTGTCCTACGTGGCTAAAATTAACCGAAAATTAATCCCCGAGAAGGAAAAACTTATTCAAATCTTTCACCAACATCACAACGGAGAAAATAATCCGTCCGTCTCTACAAACAACGAATCAAAGCTCAACGCTCGCCACGCAAACAAATTGTGTTCCATCCTCCTCGTCAGTGTCGACAATTATTGGAAACTTTTAAAAACACGGGAAATCAGGAAACGTACATTATTAATTTGGTCACTCTTTATAATTGTGGATCTCGTCTATTATGGCGTTGTCTTCGATTCCGCGACGTTAACCAATGATCCGTTTCTTTTAGTTTTTTTGGCGTAAGTGGGGAATATGTATTTCATAAGTTCGGGTATCAATTTTATTTTCTATAAATTTCTCATCTTTTTTTCAGCGGACTGATGGAAGTGCCTGCTTACACATTGGTTATCCCTTGTTTGACCATTTTGGGTAGGAAACCGACGGTCATTGGGACATTTACGCTGACGGCGGTGTGTTCTTTCATCGTAGCGTATACTCCCGCAGGTACAGAAGTCGTTCATTTCCGGTTGATATATTTCCCAAAATTTGCCAAAACAGGAGTAAAACCTGAGCGAATTATTGCAGAATATGAACTTATCAGAGTTGCTGTATCGATGTCGGGGAAGTTGTTTATAACGACATGTTTTGCAGTCCTTTATCTTCTGGGGGCCGAACTTTTTCCGACCTCGACACGAACAACAGGTAACAAAATTGTCAGGTTGGAATGTGCAATGATAACGCTGATTGAAAAAGTTGGCATTCATTTTTATAGGATTAGCTTCTGCCGTAATATTTGGACGGTTGGGATCTATCCTGGCTCCATTTATTGTTGATTTGGTGGTGAGTTTGCAATTCAAATGCATGAAATGTTTCTTCACAAATTAATACAATTTTGTGTGTGTATATTTATAGAAAACTTCATATCGAGACTTGCCCAATATTATATTTGGCTTGGTGTCCGTTGCCGCGGGTCTGCTATCGTTATTACTTCCGGAAACCAAAGATTCAGAAATGTTTGATGAAATTACAGAATTAGAGAAAAATGGGAACAATAATCCTCCTGTCAGTGTTCAAATTAAGCTTAATTCCGGCTTAGACATTGGTTCCGCCGTGGACGAGAAGTCTCGAACTGAAAGTAACGGCGGCTTGTCAGGAACTAGTAATTACGTTATTCATAATTCTCCGTGATTGTCTGTGATATCATTTGTACAAAAAAAGCTTAATGCAACCTAGTGAATAAAAGTGTAAGAAACAATATACACCTTGTAAAATTAACGTAAACTAGCAATGCGATTTTGTGAAGTGTAACCATCCGATTTGGTTGAAATTTTAAAATTATGTGGTCCAAGTCAATACAACCAACGTTTCTTGAGGCAGCTTGTGCGATGGTGGGAATGGTTCAAAATATTTGAAGTCAAAGTTGAATAAAACTACATTTAAAAAACAGCATTCCTCGGTGAGGGTGCGACTAAAAACTTTTAAACAAGAGCATTGAACAAATTTTAAAATTTAATATTGACCAACTACTACCACATCCTGGAAAGAAGAGGAAGAAGCAGAAGAAGAGGACCAAACCAAGAAAACTTCCTCCTCCCACATCCTCCCAACCACTCCCCCATACCACCGAGGGTTTAAATCCCGTTTACGATGACCTTTTCTGTCCGGTTTCGGGCTGCCCAGGACCGTCATCTGCTGGAACAGATGAGTGGATAGAATGTTCTGCATGTCTTTTGTGGTATCACACCTCTTGTCTTTTCTTGCAGGCCATTCCTGAAGGTGACTGGTTCTGCGCAAACTGTCCCCAAATAGATACACAAATAGGCCCCCAAATAAACTCAAACACATCGTCGCCAGCAAATCAATCTTATCTAGGCACACATATTCAACTCACACAGTCAATCACCTTTACAAATCCACGTGCATCACAACCAATTTCTACATTAAGTACACCACTTTCAAATTTTATATCTAGCAAGGAAACATGCACATCCCTTACATTAGAATGGCTAAATAACCACATAGTACCCGGGGGGTAATTGAGAAAGCTATATTACATGACGCTTATAGACGAGACTCCTTAGGCATTTTTAAACCCATTAACGATGCAGAAATGGGTAAATTGATAAAAAATTCATTTTCAAACATTAGGACCAAACGAATTAGGACAGAACTTCATGGCACTTCGAAGTATCATTACGTAGGGATTCAGTTTAAATCAGAACACAGTGCTGACTCGGTTTTTGATTTCCAAACTATCATTTCATCTCTTAGGCAAAATTGTCCTACTCTTAAACAATGTCCAAAGGCCTGTAGGATCCCTGTAGCCCAAGTTCTGAAATCCGCCGTAGATAAATGTATAAGTGAAAACACTCCAGAGGCATGGCATCTTCTTTTGACCTTTCCATATATTACATTGCAATGTGAATCAAAGGCAAATATTAAAAATGGTCAAAGCCTTAATAGCAAAATCCGAAACAACTTATCCATATTTGAATCTTTGGACAAAAATACATATCAGGATTATCTCATTACTCTCTCTTCCAAAAATTCAGCCCATGATAAACCAGGTAACACCATCAAGGACATTGGGCCAAAAGTCATATCTAAAGTATCCGAAGGAAATATTCGTGGTGCAATTCGGCTTTTAACTTCAGATGATATTATCGCCCCAAATTCTTCAGAAACTCTTGAAACACTTGTAGAAAAGCACCCACCACAACCTTTAGATAATTTTACTGTTTTAGATGAGCCTAACATTCCACCTTTTACAACGACAGTAGAACAGGTTATCTCAGCAATATTCTCATTTCCTAGTGGTTCAGCAGGGGGTTTAGATGCATTACGACCACAAATTCTGAAAGATTTAGTTTCACAACATACTGGTGACGTAGGAACTCAATTGTTAGAATCTATGACAAAATTTTGCAATTTTATGTTAGCAGGAAAAGTTCCTTTAGATATTTGTCCTTTCATTTATGGTGCAAGTCTGACGGCCCTTAAAAAGAAATCAGGTGGTATTAGAGCTATTGCAGTAGGTTGCACTTATCGTAGAATAGTTTCAAAAATTTGTGTCAAGGTCATGAATCATGTCTTTCAGGATTATTTTAGTCCAGTCCAAGTAGGTTTCAATGTAAAAAATGGTGCTGAAGCAGGAGCACACGCTGCCCGTAGATTCTTTTCCTTTTTACATAAGTCACCCACAGCCTTTCTTAAAATAGATTTCAAAAATGCTTTTAATATGGTGGATAGAGGGAAATTGGTTTCATCCGTTCACGAACTTGTACCAACCTTGTATCCTTATATTAATCAGTGCTATAGATTCTCATTCAGCCTTGTCTGGGATTCTTCATTAATTGAATCATGTAGAGGTGTTCAACAAGGGGATCCGTTAGGTCCACCACTTTTTTGTTTGATTCTACATCCAGTCGTTTCAAATTTAGGGTCAGAATTTAATATGTGGTACTTGGATGATGGTACATTAGGTGGCGATCCTACTACAGTTTTAGACGATTTCAAACATATTATCTCGTGTGCAAATGAAGTAGGTTTAGAATTAAACTTTGATAAATGTGAGGTTTCAGTTTTAGGTCCTCAAACTAACACGCAACGTATACTAGAATCTTTCCAATCAGTTGCACCAGGTATTTCTTGTATGACCCAGGAAAATGCTGAACTTTTAAGGTGCGTTTATGCTTTCTGATTAATTGTAGCGATCTCTTAGAGAATTGATAACCGACGGGTTTTTTAGTTCCCGTCCTCGTTACATTCGCGTCGCCATAGCGGTCGCTATGCAATTCGCCATGCGGGTTTATGCATTGTTTCCTCCTTCATTTCACGGCACCTTCACGATCACCATGAAAGTTGAACAGAGTTCAACTTTTACACGGATGAAGGAGCAAGGAAATTTTTAGAAACCATTACAATTTTATAAATATTTCCATTTGCGATTTCAAAATTTTACAAAATGACTACAAAAGTGATATCTGCGCCCAAATCTCCACTGGATCTGGAAGAAAAATTAATTCTTCTAGTTCAGCAACGTCCAGCACTGTACGACAAGAAGGATCCTGCATACAAAAATAGAAACACTCGTGCGGTGATGTGGGAGGAAATTGGAAAGCTACTAGGAAAGACAGGTCAGTTTGTTTTACTGCAGAGTCTATATTCTCACTTGTATTAACTCTAAAAAGGCATGAAGGAGCAATGCGTTTCATCCGTGACATTGTTGACCCGGATGAAAGGTAATAGTAGTTTATATTTAATTGAGTAATGAGTTGGTTAAATAATTTTGGTAATGAAACTATCTCTAAACAAACAGTACCGTGTCCAATCTCGTGACTGAAGATGATTCTTCGTTTGTGGATATGCATGGACCGGGGTCGGAGATCCAGATTGAAGTGATTGACGTGGATAAGCTCCCCGAAGATTTTGACCCACTCTCAATTGAAGAGGAGACAGCGACGACTTCTGTACTTGTACCACGGTCACAACCAGCTTTACCATCGAAGGTATTTGAACGAGAAGAATCATTTATATTTAGACAACAATTATAAATAATATCAATTACTCTGATTTAATTCGTAGAAACGAAAATTGGACGCATTTGACAAAGAGATGCTGGATTTGCTCAAATCAAACGATGATGAACACGACAGCTTCGGAAAAATGTTGGCCCCAAAACTGCGGAGAATTGCAGATTTAGACCGGAAAGTATTTCTCAATCTTCAGCGCAAAATCAATGATGCAGTGCTTGATGCAGAAATAGAACTTCTTGCGTAATTATACAGCTTTAAGTCATTAAAATGGTTTTAAATAATTCTGGCTTGTTATTCAAAAGTTGCAGTAAATAAATCCTTTGTTTTTCATGAACGAGATTTTATTTGCAAAAATCATATTAAATTAGGCATTTTAACAGATAAATTATGAAATTCTTGACATTTGCCATGAAACACTACCCTCATTACTGTTAAAATATTCTAAAAATCTGTCCCGTACAAGTACAGCTTCTAGACGCCGGTTATTGCTGCCTTGTTGCCGCAAAGAGATCATTCCCGTGTCCCCAGTGGTAGTCTCCCTCCAATTTCCCGTGGTGTTCCCATCATCTGAATCCGCCGTTATCGTATTCATATCTTGCTTATCAATAAGCAAATTGTGGAGAATTACTGCGGCATGGATTACGAGCCTGGTTAAGTCAAGTGATGCAACTATTGGCGTGTGAAATATCCTCCATCTAGCAGCTAACATCCCGAATGCATTCTCCGACACATTTCTCGCTCGAGAAAGACGGTAATTGTAAATACGACGCTCCAGGGTGAGAAATTTTCCTGGGAATGGCTTCATCATGTAAGGCTTTAAAGCAAAAGCGTCATCAGCTACGATAACATGGGGTTGGAGGTGAGGTCCAACTATTTTTGGCTCTGGTAGCCCCAATTTTCCATTTTCATGCCTCTTTCCTATTTCCGATCGTCCAAATACGCCTCCATCTGACTGCGAACCCGAGGCTCCAATATCCACAGCAGAAAATTTGTATTTATGGTCGACAACAGCCATGAGAACAATGGAGAAGAAGCCTTTATAATTGTGGTAAGTGGACCCCGAAAAATTTGGTGCTTGAATTCTGCAGTGTTTCCCGTCTACAGCACCAACGCAATTTGGAAAATTCCACCGAGTTCGGAAGCCAATCTCATTGGTTATCCATTGATCAGTTGTCGGTGGTGGTAGATGAATGTGGCCGAATATTTTCACTATTGCTTGCAAAACTTCTCGTAGAATCTTCGAAACTGCTGATGGTGATATTCGATAACTGAAGGAGAGAGAGATTTGGGAAGCTCCGGTGGCAAGAAATCTAGTAGATAGAGGTCATTTTCACTCAGCACTTAACTATATTTGATATCAAATTATTACCTTAAAGTTATCCCAAGTTTCTCTTCGACAGAAATAGGTCGGCTATGGGTCATTTTTCCTGTAATTTCCCCAGTAATCAGCATCAAAATCTCATCAAAGTTTTCCATATTCATCCTGTGAAATGTATTAAAAGTTTGATATATTGAGAAACAACTTTGTATATGCATTTTACCGGAAGTAACGGTGATGATAATGAGGGTCTTCACGCAATTCTTTCATTAAAATGATGTCTCCCTGGTCCACTCGATTCCAGAACATAGGCCGGATTGAAGCAGCTCGCACTTTTCGCTTCAATTTTCTTCGAAGTCTCCGGAGAATCAAGATTTTGGTAATCAAACGTCGATCGGGAGCCGGCATAATTGTTTTTGTGAGATTATGAAATGGCTATGATTTTTTACGGGTTTTTACTTTCCCTTCGATGACCGATAGCTAAAACTAGCGTTGAGAGAAACCGATCGTAAAAACTACAGAAAGTGTAAACCCGTTATGAAGGAAGGAACGCTAACGCTATGGCGACGTTATGTAACGAGGACGTTAAGCATAAACCATACAAAATTTTGCAATTTTATGTTAGCAGGAAAAGTTCCTTTAGATATTTGTCCTTTCATTTATGGTGCAAGTCTGACGGCCCTTAAAAAGAAATCAGGTGGTATTAGAGCTATTGCAGTAGGTTGCACTTATCGTAGAATAGTTTCAAAAATTTGTGTCAAGGTCATGAATCATGTCTTTCAGGATTATTTTAGTCCAGTCCAAGTAGGTTTCAATGTAAAAAATGGTGCTGAAGCAGGAGCACACGCTGCCCGTAGATTCTTTTCCTTTTTACATAAGTCACCCACAGCCTTTCTTAAAATAGATTTCAAAAATGCTTTTAATATGGTGGATAGAGGGAAATTGGTTTCATCCGTTCACGAACTTGTACCAACCTTGTATCCTTATATTAATCAGTGCTATAGATTCTCATTCAGCCTTGTCTGGGATTCTTCATTAATTGAATCATGTAGAGGTGTTCAACAAGGGGATCCGTTAGGTCCACCACTTTTTTGTTTGATTCTACATCCAGTCGTTTCAAATTTAGGGTCAGAATTTAATATGTGGTACTTGGATGATGGTACATTAGGTGGCGATCCTACTACAGTTTTAGACGATTTCAAACATATTATCTCGTGTGCAAATGAAGTAGGTTTAGAATTAAACTTTGATAAATGTGAGGTTTCAGTTTTAGGTCCTCAAACTAACACGCAACGTATACTAGAATCTTTCCAATCAGTTGCACCAGGTATTTCTTGTATGACCCAGGAAAATGCTGAACTTTTAGGTGCACCTTTAACATACGAATCCATAGAACACGTTTTCCGCAAGAAGATTAACGCGTTTTCTAATATGGTAGATCGATTGCCCTCTATTCCAAGCCATATTGCGTATTATCTATTGAAGCATTCTTTAGCTATTCCACGTTTAGTTTACCTACTGAGGGCAGCCCCAATTTTTAAATCTCCATATTTACTAGAAGAGTTTGATTCTTTGCTCCATGATGCTTTAGAGCAAATTACAAATTGCCAAATTAATCCTCTATCTCTAGAAGAAATTGCTTTGCCAGTTAAATTAGGTGGTTTAGGAATTAGACAATCGAAAACATTAGCAACTCCATGTTTCCTTTCATCTTCATTTGCCACCACTGACTTGGTTTCTTTAATTTTGCCCTCGTATGTCACTGCTTTGTCCGATTCACTTGTGACCGAGGCAGAGGATTTGTGGAAATCATTTAGTTGTGATGAATTACCTCGCAGTACAATTACTTCTCTTCAATCATCCTGGGAAATTCCAATTTTCAATCACTTTTCTTCACGTATCCTGGAACTATCCACCACCCCAATTAATACCGCTAGGATTTTGGCATCTCGGTCAAAAGAGTCAGGTGCATGGTTGCAAGCTTTACCATCCAGAAATTTAGGCACACTTTTAGACGATAATTCCTTTAGGATTGCAATTGGTTTGAGGTTAGGTTTAAAATTGTGTTTCCCCCATAAATGTGTTTGTGGTACACAAATAGATGAACTAGGATTACATGGCCTTTCATGTAAAAAAAGTGCTGGCAGGCACTCTCGACATACACAATGTAACGACATTATAAAGAGAGCTTTAATTTCTGCAGACATGCCAAGCATTAGGGAACCACTAGGTGGTAGTAGAACAGATGGAAAAAGACCGGATGGTCTTACATTAATACCATATAAACAAGGGCGCTCATTAATATGGGACTTTACATGTACAGACACTTTTGCCCCCTCTTATCTCTCTCACACACTTAGACATGCTGGCACAGCAGCAAAACTAGCCGACAGCAAAAAAGACAAACTTTACTCTGAACTTGAAAAACAATATATTTTTAGCCCGAGTCAGGGCTTATGGAACCATCATGTCCGTCCGTCCGTCCGTCCGTCTGTCCGTCTTACGATAACTCTCGTTAAACTCATCCTATCGACTTGAAATTTGGTACACGTGTAGTATGGGGCAAATGAGGAGTTAAGTTCGAAGATGGGCGAAATCGGTCAAGTGGTTGACCAGTGGGGGTCATATAGGTGGGTGGGGTATTATGCATCAAAATTTCAAAATCGTCATAGAAGGCAGAAATTTGACACTGAGGTTGCTAATGATGTCTAGTGAAAGAGTATGAATTCAAGTTGGAAAAAATTTCATTTTGAAAGACCCGAGGGGGTGATCCATACTGATTTGTCAAAATCGTCATATCGAGTTGAAATTTGGTAGATAGATTGCGTATGGGGTTTAAGGAAGAACATGAAATGAAATTGGTCAAATTTTTTATCTGGAGGGACCCGAGAGGGTGACCCATACAGATTTTTGAAAACCATTTAATTGAGCTGAAATTTGCCATTGCCGTTTCTAATAGCTCCTAATGGAATAATATGAAGTGAAATTAGTGAAATTTTTATGTGGAGCGACCCTAGGGGGTGGCCCCTACCGATTTTTATAAATTGTATTAAAAAGATGAAATTCGGTACGGTGATACTTAATGGTTTCGTATGGAAGTACTGTTGTTAAGTATATCTGTGGTGCCACGTCGACCGCTTTGGATCATCCATAAAAAGGTCTAACACATAGCGCGTCACAAAAAGAAATTCAAACTTTGCCAGAATTTAGAAAATATTAATAGAAAATTATTTTTCCTATAAAATTTTTCGATATCTGACCTCTGTGACCTGTTTTTTAGGGGTGAAACTCATTAATTTGAAATACGTTTGTTTGTCTGCGTGCACAATAAGTGGATAAGGATTTTAATCGAATTTAGCGAGAGATCGGGTTTAATCTGCTGGGAATTGAAAGTTGACATTGTGTAAAATATTTCTGCCATTTTTTTGAAATTTTAACACAACAAACAATGCAGAAAAGTAGGGATTTCGGTGGAACTAGATTTCGGGCTGGCGGAGGAAACAAGGCGATTCGGTTGGGAGCGCGGAGGACTACACTAAATATTATTTTACACCACTTTATTTTTATTTTGACGTACAACTTATACAAATTCGTGTCTGAAATTTAGGAAATTGAATAATTTGTGCGTCAAAATAAAAATAAAGTGGTGTAAAATAATATTTAGTGTAGTCCTAAAAAACAGGTCACAGAGGTCAGATATCGAAAAATTTTATAGGAAAAATAATTTTCTATTAATATTTTCTAAATTCTGATTGATTGATTGATTGATTGATTATGCTTTATTCAAGTGTCTACCAAGTTCACAGTAACAAACCATGCTCTTCCACGAGTGACTGGCAAAGTTTGAATTTCTTTTTGTGACGCGCTATGTGTTAGACCTTTTTATGGATGATCCAAAGCGGTCGACGTGGCACCACAGATATACTTAACAACAGTATATGAAGTTAAAAGCGAACAAAGTGGAACCAGAGTAACCTAGAGGGTGACCCATACCGTTTCGATATTTTAAAAATTCGTAGCTGAAATTCAGGAAATTGGTCATACTTGAATTGGCGAGATGAGAAGAAATAAAATTAAAGTGAAAGTTATTCATTGCGTTTTTTATACAGTTCAAAAAGGCACGCAAAAAGGCAAAAAGGCATGAACAAATAGCAAAAAGACTGACTTTTTGCACACACTGGTCACCCCCACTGGTTTAGAGAACGGACGTAGACGACTAAAAGTTGGCGTGATCCTGCAGGGTAAGATCAGCTTAATAAATGTGAAGTAAATTTTAAAGTTTTTTTTCCAGGAGGACCCAGTGGGGTTTTTGGAATTGGTTAAAGAAGCTGCAATTTTGTAGCGACTATTGCGAATCATTCGCAATCATCAAAAATTTTCTCATAATACCAACTATTAGTAGTTGGTACCGGTCACTTGGCAAACAGTTAGAAGTGGACTCTGTCCCTGTCTCGGGCTATATAAACACTGCACACTGTAGGTTTTGTTCCGGTGGCCGTCGAGACATCAGGAGTATGGGGGACGGAAGGGTTGAAGTTCATCCAAGATGTTGGGAGGAGGATGAAGGATGTCACTGGACCAATGTCAACAACATTTCTCATTCAACGGATCAGTTTGGCAGTTCAACGCGGGAATGCGGCATCAATCATGGGAGCTGTCCCCAGTCAACGAGGATTAGAAGAATTATTTTATATTTTAAATGATAGGTCGTTTTATTTACAAAAATCATGTAAGGGGCCGAATGGTGATCTCGGACGCCTATTCGGATCAAGTAAAGGTTTTCCCAACCCACCAACATCGGGTTTTTCCTCTACTCCCCAAGCCAACTAAGTGTATTTCATAGTTTATCAATGTTTATGTTAATAAAATTATCATTTTTGAAGAAAAAAAAAAAAAAAAAAAATTTCAACCGATTTTGCTCGAACGTATCTTAAATGGTGCGTAATCAGTGCCCGCACAATAAAATCAATAGCTGGCACGATCATTGTATGGCAAAATTGAATTTCCGGCTCATTTTAAAGTTGCGAAGATCCTAAAATTCTTGTAATATTACACTTTCGTCACGAGAAAGATGAAAAGACACTAGATTTCGTAATTGTCTGATTTTTTTGTTTCAACAATTTTTCACTAAATGTAACCGTTCGAGCTGTGGCCGTGGCGGAAGTTTTAGGACCCTGTCTTGAAAGCATACCTTGGCTTCGCCGTAACCATGCGCTTTTCTGTCGTGAGGGTAGCCCTTGGTTACTTTCCTCACCTCAGAAAAAATGTGCGATTCTTACCCAGCGGAGGATCCTTTCAAAGGGAAAAAATCGCCGACTTTTCAACTTCGACCTGAAAATTTTTGACTAATTCACACAAATTGCCGTTGACGTCGAGTTCCCCCACTATTTTGGAATTTTGGAAATGTGATCTTGTCGATCATATACTACTAAATAGTGACATTTGAAATTGTTAAGCAACTTTGTTACAAAATATTGGACACGAAACATATTTTGGTGAGAAATTTATCCCATGGAAAGCTACGTTGAATATTTTTACACGAATCTTTGAAATTGTACTAGAACGTTATTGTTGCATTGGGATGAATATTATTGTACGTTGTATTATGTCAATCTTCCCTGGCTGCCGTTGAACCAAACTCCAGTGAATTTTAGGGTGTGGCGGGGATAGGGACGCCTTGCCTTCTACACCTCAACCTAGAGGGGTCGCCCAAAGAATTATCCGTTGGGAACCATCGGGTCTTTGGGGACGCCCGGTCGCACACATGGAACCTGACATGCATCATTTCTTTCGGTTGCTTAGGGTGCACAATCATCATGATTACTGTATTGGGATTCTGACCTCAAAATGCTTGGAATGTGAAACCTAACATCGTCTGCACTTTTGCTCATTGTAGTGCTCGTACTGTCCCAGGGCCTTTATCTTCACATGTAAACAAACACATCGGGGTGGGGTCCATCCAAAACAATGTGTATATAATTGGTCTCTTGACCGTGGTCAGAAACATTAGTTTAATATTATTGAAAAATTATTTACTACATATTTCTCATGAAGAAATACTGAGAATTAGATTGTTATCGTAATTTGATAACATCGTACCTGCAAAAGACATGGAGTTTTACCGTGTTTTAACGTCGCAGAGTCTTATACGTACAACACATGCAGAAGGCATGTGTTGTACGGGATTGGTAGTTATACGGCGCATGGATGATGTGACGTCAGCAGAGTTCGGCAAAACCTGCTTTCATTATATACCTTTATGGCAACTTTAGAACGAAATCGAATTTCGACATGCGGTTTTCGCCAACCTGTTTCTAATTTTTCAAGCACGGCCGAGTTCGAAGCTGGACATTGTAGATCATATGGTCATGGCGCCACAGTGATGACATAAACGGTCAAACGTGTCTAATTTTTTGTTTCCACAGTTTTAGACGTAGTTTTGGGCGGGGATTTCAAAAATCGCCATCATTTCGACGTGTGACGACCTCAAAGTAATCCTACGTCGAGGCAAACTGAGATTTTTACAAAAATTTAATCTATAGATGAAATATAGCTAAATTAAGTGTCCCCGCGTTGTTACAGGTTTTGTCTACACCATGTCGAAAACTGGCGGGAACACTGGACTATGGTGCTATGCGATTATACATCTAAATTCCACATTTAATTTGAGTTGGAGTTGAATGTGGGAATAATGCAAATATGCGAGTACGTAGACCTGTTGAGAACAAACATGTAAAATATGCGTTATGCATGATTATCCAAAGTGGCTCGATATAAATGAAGGCAAACCTGCTACACTGTCATACCACACATATGGTATTACACCAGCAGCACGGTACGCGATGAAAATAATTAAAAAGTGAATTATGGTTATCTGGGTGGCTTATCAGTCAACTATGATAAGCACCTGCGTCGAAACAATGGATTAATGTTTCATAACTCAACGAATGACGCACAGTTGGAGCACTTTAAAAACAATAGTTTGCACAAGCATTTAATATTGCGTTGAACACCTGCAAATTAGTAATTAAAATTACCTCTGAGGCCCCATTCGAGTCATATAAATAGTAGCTCCGAGGACAATCCTGCATTCATTCAAGTCTTGACTTTACTACAGAAAATGGTTTACCCTGTCACAATGCACACCGTGTTCCAAAATGGAACCACGTCACAATATATTTGGAACGACCGTCCCTTTTTTATCCCAGATCTGAATGCCGTGTTCGTGATGTTTTGTAAGCTGTATAATTTATAACACAATTTCTTTACGAACCAACTGGTCTTATAATAAAAATTAATTAATTAGATGCTTCTGTCAATGCGGCATTATACCAGGGATATGCGGCTTTTGGTATCAACGACCCATTCAACACTCCCCCAGAGTGGAACTCGTTTTTGGATGAGCAAGGTCAGACCCCAGATTTAAATTTCCCATTTGCTTGGAAACGAAGCTACAATTTGCTTGGAACACAATTGTCGGCATTCTACGAAAAAGTAATTCGATCGCACTATTGCCACCAGAAAAATATCACCACCAATTTCATATATTCAAAAAGAGTTTTAGCTCATCTATCCGACTGCTCCACAATAGCAGTATGTAACTCAACCAATTGCTTTTATTACGAAACACAAAGCATAGATTTTACTTTACTAAGGAAATCTGGAATCACAAAGAACATGTCTCAACATGATGCATGGGCCCAAGAAATTCATGGGTATCGTCAGGCCCATTATGGGTCGACCATTTCCACCAGCATCAGCAACATGTATCCTTTTATGCATGTCGACAACTCTACAATCACCTCCCAGATAAACCAATTTTTTACTTTTCCCGGCTCGAATGAAAGTTTCATCAGAGAAAAGGGCTTATTTGCCCCTGAAGGACATCGAGGAAGGACGTATTATAAGCCTCAAAGTCTACATGGACAACGAATTGCTTGAAAAAGTCCAAAAATTGAGACCGGATTTATTTATTTTATTTTCATTAGTAATGAAAAGCAAGTCTATTTTTGAATCAACAGTGGATAAGAGATATACATCTTCACTGTACTACATTCCGTTCGAGTTCTTCCCTAGCCTGACGTTATTCTTCGCAAGATTTTCATCGTTCGAGGACGAAGGTATCTCAACAAGTAGGGGTGCCGATCTGGAGAAACAATGGATGCAACTTGTTACCGACTTGTGGCAAGGAGTCTGTCCCACTGCTGAGTTATATCCGTCATTTCCTTCGTTCTATTTGGTAACTCGTTGTGTAGTTTGTACGATTGAACCAAGTTAATTTTTTTATTTACACTATTGCACAATGGATCATTACCGATAAATGCGGAGAGTAATATTCCAGTGTCTACGTCGAATATACACACGACCACCAGCCAACCAATCGACACCCGCGTTTGTGCTGACAGCGGTAACGCTGAAGAAGCAAGTGGCCCTCAACCTGAATCCACCGATGATGACACCACGGGGATGACACCTGCAGACTCCAGAGATACCCAGAAGAGGTGGTTTTGAGATAGATGGTCAATTACTGAGCAAAACAACCCTAGAATATCCACAACCACCTGCAGCTTTTGGGAAATGTCGTTTGTTTCTATCAGAATTAGTCACTGAAACTAGTGCTCAACAATCTTTCCTTGAATATGAAATGTTGTGCCCATCCAAAAGGCGTTCGAAGCACAAGAACCTTTCTGGATTTTTGACCATCTTTCTAGAAAGTGGCGATATTCCAAAAATTATCGGGACGATTGACCACTCCAACAAAGAACTCGTAGAAGTTGTGGAGACCACTTCTAGCGGAAATCAGGTTACCCGCAAATATTTTGTTGTGGGTGGTGGAGGTACTCAAACGAATCAACAAATTTCCAGAGGAATGTTTGCGGACCAGTATAATTTAGCTATTCCGTCCGCCCAATCGAGAACAATTTTTGTCATTCTAATTTATATTCCTAGTTACATGAAACACATACCAACAGCCAGAAAATTCTGGCTGCCAATCAACAACAATGGAGTTTACGAGCCAAAACCTTTGACAGAAGATCATGAAGGTCTTTCAAAGTATCCCCAGGACTCTTTACTAATTGGTCAGCCATGCAATTTCGACGAATGTGGTATGTTCTTGAAATGGGCAATTGTAGAAAGCCTTGTTGGAGAAGATAACCTTATATACCCTATACCTGATGTCGAAGGAGCAGTTAAGCCATATCAAAGTCTCAGTAGGTGTAGCTCGACGATGCTTTCTATGCAAATGAATGACTTTGTTGTTGCAACGCCAACACCATCAGCCGAGAATAATTGTCCCAGAGATACTCCGGTGTCATTTCAAAGCCCATTCAATTTTCGTGGCCGGGCATTACAATCAACAGCTCAGCAGATTATTATCAACGTGAAATACTTTTTTGACAGGGCGACAGCTAATTCAGAGCTACTCGTGGGATCGCCCTCGAAATTAGCTTCATTAGCCACAAATGTCAAACTCTGGACGGTGTCAAGGGTCGTTGTAGCACACCCCAACAACGTTCAAATACAGACACCTGGAAAGAAACGACCACGAGAAATGAGGACTTTTAAATTGCTGGACCAATTCAAACTAGATATACTAAAAGGCATGATACAGAAACACTTTCAGAATAATCGCGTCGCATTTCTGGAAGAAATTTATAACGAGTTTATGGCGCGGATGAAGGATGACGACGATGTTTTAGAGGTACAAAAAATAGTTTTTTTTAACCAGGAATAAGTTTACATCCAAGTACTATTATTCTAGAGAACATCGTCTGAGCCAATAACGAGATTTAAGTGCTCGTTGTATACGTTTAGAAAGCTGATGCACAAAATTGGGTATAAATTTGGCACAGTTGATCTCCGAGTTGCAATTCTACAAAGAGAAGATATAATTCGATGGCGAGGTCGGTTTCTTAAACGTCTACGAGAAAACGAAAGGGACCCCAACAAAAAAAATTATATACACAGGTGCGTACTAGTTCCGTATATTTATATAAAAATATTGTTTTTGTCGGTTTAGTTCAATATTTCAATATTCAATTTATTAGCATTTGATATGGCCATGAGCCCTCATCAATAGAAATTACAGAGCTAGATATGTAAATGTAAGTAAAGTAAAGTAGTCAGAGGAATAGTGGGAAAACCTGGCTATGGTGTAGAGCCAGGAAAACACTATCACCTCTGGGAATGTGACCCAGAGGTCCATTCGGCTCTGACTACATCACCCAGGCAGGACAAATGAGTGATAGGGATCATAGGCAGATTCCGCGAGGAACTGCTGATATCCAAATGAGGACGGCGTCGTGACGGCGGAAGCAAGGTGAGTGAAGGTTGTTGGGCGGGGCGTCCACGGACCACGAAATACCTTAGCGCCCTCACGGGCACGGGCTACGTGTCCCCTTCACGGTCACACAGTGTGACCAGGGCCGAGCGACACTACCCACTTGCCCCTTCACCCCTCACAGCACAACCGGGCCATGGGACCCCCGTAGGCCCGACTACACTGCCCACCGCCATGCACGACCCCGTCCCCACTCTTCTACCAACCGCCCCCACGGTCACCACCCCGATATACCAAACAATGACCTACCTGGGGGAGTCCTCCATGGCGTAGATCCTCCCGTGCACTTGGTCCGGCGAATCCATCTTCGCCTGATGGCTCGGCTTGTCGTTGCTGGGACGGGTGTGGCAGGGGGTGTCACCAGGCACGCAGTTGGGGGTGTGAGTGGACGAGGCTCACAGGGCGAAAAGCCTGGGACACACTTCACTTGCCCTGGCACACCCTCGACCCAGATGGAAGAGAGAGAATCCAGTTGCAGAGCGAGAGAGAGACACGTCGTGCACGGTTGGAAGCCAAAGAGGATCCTTGTCGGTTTAGTTAATAAATAATAAGCAGACGAAACCTGGGTGGACCCCCACGCCAGAACTGGCAAAGCATGGGTGCCAAGAACATTCAGAAGCTGGCAGGAAAGAAAACTATATACATTTAAGCAAAATAAATTAGGTAGAGGACCTCGGCTAATCGTGCTTAACGCGGGTAAGAAATAAAATACGTTATATCTAATTATTTTTTGTCGACATTTAAAAAATTGCGCGGTGAAGATGGATTTTTTCGTATTTTAATGTTACAAGTTTTTCGTATTTTAATGTTACATAATATTTTCAGAAAACGTAGATGGCCCTACCTATCTCGCCTGGTTTCGCAAATTGTTAACATCATTGGAAGGGAAAGGAAGTTTCCTGATTATTGTGGACAATGCACCGTTAAGAATCATAACTTAAACTCATCTTTATACAAATATACTAGATATAAATATATATATATATATATATCTAAATGTTTATGCGCTTAATATATTAACTACATTGTACTGTTGTGTCGCTGAAATAGATATCACGGATCTGCCGAGGTACCAGTCTCCAGGGACAAGAAGGGGGTCATGTACACCTGGCTAACGAATCATTGGGATCCAAGCCGCGGCCCCATAAAACCAGAGAAGCAATATCTAAAATGGGAACTTTGGGACATTATTAAGTCGATGAAGGTTGGAAACAAATACTACGTTATTGATAAGCTGGCAAAGGAAGCTGGTCACGAAATACTTCGGTAATGTAGCAAACATATGTAATAGATCGTTGGCATTGTAATAACTCAAAGATTTCAATAGATTACCCCCGTATAATTGCGACCTCTCGGCAATAGAATATGTTTGGAAGGATACAAAGGATTATATCCGGAAAAATAATCTTGATCAAAACCTTTCCACAGTGCAAAGGACGGCAGAAGAATTTATGAGAAATTATAATACCAGTTATTGGATTGCACATGTCAACCATGTGAAAAGGTGTTCATACAAAGGCTTATTAAATAGAAATAGGTAACTGTGTTAAACTACTTTCTCTAGGTTAGGGGAAGAATACTGGACAAATGATCGATTTTATGAAGACTTAATTGACTCCCTTCCAACGGAAAGATTAATTGTAAGACACATTGCATTTCACGGACTCAATAACTTTCTTATTATTTGTAACTTAATTTAAGATCAACCCGGGCCAAATCGATGACGAAGACGACGAAGACTTCGAATATGACGAAGTTTTTCCCGATCTTGAAGAGTCAATGACAATTCAAAGTATGGTGCATGATTATGAGAACATGAGACTTTCCACTATGTATGGCTATACGGATGAGGATGAATTGGAAATCGAGACAGCAGTGGAAACACCACTAGAGGACCCATCCAGTCGTCGCCAATTATTTGTCCATTCCACTGACGATGATGAAGTACATAAGTATTTACAACATTATGGAAGCTTTTGATACCAAATAAATGTTATAATTTGTATTTTAGACATCAACTATTCCACATGTGAGAAGCCCACATAACGAACTCAGGATAGAATAGAGTTTATTTCATTTTGATTTTTTTGTAATAATTTATTATAATGTTAGTTAAATACATTTGAAATTAAATAATACATTATACATACTGTGTTTACACTATAAATAATTAGTTTTTGAAAATTCACTTCACACCCCCCTGAAGTGTTAATGTTTTTAAATAAACTGCAGCAAGGCCACGTACCCAAGCAACGCAAAATTCTGAGAATGCGATACAAAACAAAGAAATTTTGAAATCTGAATTATTAAAAAAAATAATGAAACAATTAAGGTTCCCTCATTTCATTTATATCGAGCCACTCTGGAGAATCATGCATCATACATGTTTTAAATTTTTGCTCTCATCAGGTCTACATACTCGCCTATTTGCATCATTCCCAGATTCAACTCCAAATAAAATTAAATTTCGAATTTAGATCCATAATCCAGTGTTCCCGCCATTTTTCGACATGGTGTCGACAAACCTGCGACAGCACGGGAACACTAAATTTAAATGTATTTCATGTATATATTAAATTTTTGTAAAAATCTCAGTTTGCCTCATTTCGACGGAATTACTTTGGCGTCGTAACACGACGAAATGATGGCGATTTTTGAAATCCCCGCCCAAAACTACGTCTAAAACTGTGGAAACAAAAAATTAGACAGGTTTATCTCATCACCGTGGCGCCATGACCATATGATCTACAATGTCCAGCTTCGAACTCGGCCGTGCTTGAAAAATTAGAAACAGGTTGGCGAAAACCGCATGTCGAAATTCGATTTCGTTCTAAAGTTGCCATAAAGGTATATAATGAAAGCAGGTTTTGCCGAACTCTGCTGACGTCACATCATCCATGCGCCGTATAACTACCAATCCCGTACAACACATGCCTTCTGCATGTGTTGTACGTATAAGACTCTGCGACGTTAAAACACGGTAAAACTCCATGTCTTTTGCAGGTACGATGTTATCAAATTACGATAACAATCTAATTCTCAGTATTTCTTCATGAGAAATATGTAGTAAATAATTTTTCAATAATATTAAACTAATGTTTCTGACCACGGTCAAGAGACCAATTATATACACATTGTTTTGGATGGACCCCACCCCGATGTGTTTGTTTACATGTGAAGATAAAGGCCCTGGGACAGTACTGTGGGAAAGAAAGTAGCATGATTTGTGAGTTGGGAAAAGAGTGGCATAGATATGGAGAAGCGTGGATTGTCAAGTGGTTAAGGCGTTCGCTCGGAATGCGAAAGGTTCAGGGTTCGATTCCCTGATCGGCTCTCCTCTATATTTTTGCACACTTTCCTGCGTTCCGACTTACAAATCATGCCTACAGTACGACGAATTACAAACGACGGAACTGCTCGTGGGCCATAAGAATTAGCGTGGGCCATAAGAATTAGCATTGGCCATAAGGATTAGCATGGGCCATAAGAATTAGCATGGGCCATAAGAATTAGCGTGGGCCATAAGAATTAGCGTTGGCTATAAGAATTAGCATTGGCATAAGAATTAGCATTAACCACAAGAGTTAGCATGAGCAACAAGAATTAGCATTGGCCATAAGAATTAGCATTGGCCATAAGAATTAGCGTGGGCCATAAGAATTAGCATTGGCCATAAGGATTAGCATGGGCCATAAGAGTTAGCATGAGCCACAAGAATTAGCATTGGCCATAAGAATTAGCATGGGCCATAAGAATTAGGATTGGCCATAAGAATTAGCATTGGCCATAAGAATTAGCGTGGGCCATAAGAATTAGCATTGGCCATAAGAATTAGCGTGGCCATAAGAATTAGCATGGGCCATAAGAATTAACATGGGCCAGAAGAATTAGCATGGGCCATAAGAATTAGCGTGGGCCATAAGAATTAGCATGGGCCATAAGATTAGCATGGGCCAACGGTAAGACTTATGGCCAATGGTAAGACTTATGGCCAATGGTAAGACTTGTGGCCAATGGTAAGGCATATGGCCAATGGTAAGACTTATGGCCAATGGTAAGGCTTATGGCCAATGGTAAGACTTATGGCCAATGGTAAGACTTATGGCCAATTGTAACACTTATGGAAAATGGCAAGACTTATGGCCAATGTTAAGACTTATGGCCAATGGTAAGACTTATGGCCAATGGTAAGACTTATGGCCAATGGTAAGACTTATGGCCAATGGTAAGACTTGTGGCCAATGGTAAGGCATATGGCCAATGGTAAGACTTATGGCCAATGGTAAGGCTTATGGCCAATGGTAAGACTTATGGCCAATGGTAAGACTTATGGCCAATTGTAACACTTATGGCCAATGGCAAGACTTATGGCCAATGTTAAGACTTATGGCCAATGGTAAGACTTATGGCCAATGGTAAGACTTATGGCCAATGCTAAGACTTATGGCCAATTGTAAGACTTATGGCCAATGGTAAGGCTTATGGCCAATGGTAAGACTTATGGCCAATGGTAAGACTTATAGCCAATGGTAAGACTTATGGCCACTGGTAAGACTTATGGCCAACGGTAAGACTTATGGCCAAAGGTAAGACTTATGGCCAAAGGTAAGACTTATGGCCAATGGTAAGACTTATGGCCAATGGTAAGACTTATGGCCAATGGTAAGACTTATGGCCAATGGTAAGACTTATGGTCAATGGTAAGACTTATGACCAATGGTAAGACTTATGGCCAATGGTAAGACTTATGGCCAATGGTAAGACTTATGGCCAATGGTAAGACTTATGGCCAATGGTAAGACCTATGGCCAATGGTAAGACTTATGGCCAATGGTAAGACTTATGGCCAATGGTAAGACTTATGGCCAATGGTAAGACTTATGGCCAATGGTAAGACTTATGGCAAATGGTAAGACTTATGGCCAATGGTAAGACTTATGGCCAATGGTAAGACTTATGGCCAATGGTAAGACTTATGGCCCTTGGTAATCCTTATGGCCCTTGGAAATCGTTATGGCCATTGGTAATCCTTATGGCGTGTGGTAATCCTTATGGCCCTTGGTAATCCTTATGACCCTTAGTAATCCTTATGGCCCTTGGTAATCCTTATGGCCCCTGGTAATCCTTATTGCCCTTAGTAATTCTTATGGCCCTTGGTAATCATTATGGCCCTTGGTAATCCTTATGGCCCTTGGTAATCCTTATGGCCCTTGGTAATCCTTATGGCCCTTGGTAATCCTTATGGCCCTTGGTAATCCTTCTGGCCCTTGCTAATCCTTATGGCCCTCGGTAATCCTTATGGCCCTTGGTAATCCTTATGGCCGTTGGTAATCCTTATGGCCCTTGGTAATCCTTATGGCCCTTGGTAATCCTTATGGCCCTTGGTAATCCTTATGGCCCTTGGTAATCCTTATGGCCCTTGGAAATCCTTATGGCCGTTGGTAATCCTTATGGCCGTTGGTAATCCTAATGCCTGTTGGTAATCCTTATGGCCGTTGGTAATCCTTATGGCCGTTGGTAATCCTTATGGCCGTTCGTGACCCTTCTTTCTTTGGTAATCCTTATGGCCCTTGGTAATCCTTATGGCCCTTGGTAATCCTTATGGCCCTTGGTAATCCTTATGGCCTTGTATCCTTATGGTTGGTAATCCTTATGGCCTTGGTAATCCTTATGGCCCTTGGTAATCCTTATGGCCGTTGGTATCCTTATGGCCGTTGGTAATCCTTATGGCCGTTGGTATCCTTATGCCGTTGGTAATCCTTATGCCGTTGGTAATCCTTATGGCCGTTGGTAATCCTTATGGCCGTTGGTAATCCTTATGCCGTTGGTAATCCTTATGCCGTTGGTAATCCATTATGGCCGTTGGTAATCCTTATGGCCGTTGGTAATCCTTATGCCGTTGGTAATCCTTATGGCCGTTGGTAATCCTTATGGCCGTTGGTAATCCTTATGCCGTTGGTAATCCTTATGCCGTTGGTAATCCTTATGGCCGTTGGTAATCCTTATGCCGTTGGTAATCCATATGGCCGTTGGTAATCCTTATGGCCGTTGGTAATCCATATGGCCGTTGGTAATCCTTATGCCGTTGGTAATCCTTATGGCCGTTGGTAATCCTTATGCCGTTGGTAATCCTTATGCCGTTGGTAATCCTTATGGCGTTGGTAATCCTATGGCCGTTGGTAATCCTTATGGCCGTTGGTAATCCTTATGCCGTTGGTAATCCTTATGCCGTTGGTAATCCTTATGGCCGTTGGTAATCCTTATGGCCGTTGGTAATCCTTATGCCGTTGGTAATCCTTATGCCGTTGGTAATCCTTATGGCGTTGGTATCTTATGCCGTTGGTAATCCTTTGGCCGTGTATCCTTGCCGTTGGTAATCCTTATGGCCGTTGGTAATCCTTATGGCCGTTGGTAATCCTTATGGCCGTTGGTAATCCTTATGGCCGTTGGTAATCCTTATGGCCGTTGGTAATCCTTATGGCCGTTGGTAATCCTTATGGCCGTTGGTAATCCTTATGCCGTTGGTAATCCTTATGGCCGTTGGTAATCCTTATGGCCGTAGGTAATCCTTATGGCCCTTGGTAATCCTTATGGCCCTTGGTAATCCTTATGGCCGTTGGTAATCCTTATGGCCGTTGGTAATCCTTATGGCCGTTGGTAATCCTTATGGCCGTTGGTAATCCTTATGGCCGTTGGTAATCCTTATGCTATCCTTATGGCCGTTGGTAATCCTTATGGCCGTTGGTAATCCTTATGCCCGTTGGTAATCCTTATGGCCGTTGGTAATCCTTATGGCCGTTGGTAATCCTTATGGCCGTTGGTAATCCTTATGGCCGTTGGTAATCCTTATGGCCGTTGGTAATCCTTATGGCCGTTGGTAATCCTTATGGCCGTTGGTAATCCTTATGGCCGTTGGTAATCCTTATGGCCGTTGGTAATCCTTATGGCCGTTGGTAATCCTTATGGCCGTTGGTAATCCTTATGGCCGTTGGTAATCCTTATGCCGTTGGTAATCCTTATGGCCGTTGGTAATCCTTATGGCCGTTGGTAATCCTTATGGCCGTTGGTAATCCTTATGGCCGTTGGTAATCCTTATGCCGTTGGTAATCCTTCTGGCCGTTGGTAATCCTTATGGCCGTTGGTAATCCTTATGCCGTTGGTAATCCTTATGCCGTTGGTAATCCTTATGGCCGTTGGTAATCCTTATGGCCGTTGGTAATCCTTATGGCCGTTGGTAATCCTTATGGCCGTTGGTAATCCTTATGGCCGTTGGTAATCCTTATGGCCGTTGGTAATCCTTATGCCGTTGGTAATCCTTATGGCCGTTAGTAATCCTTATGGCCGTTCGTGACCCTTCTTCCCTTGGTAATCCTTATGGCCCTTGGTAATCCTTATGGCCCTTGGTAATCCTTATGGCCCTTGGTAATCCTTATGGCCCTTGGTAATCCTTATGGCCCTTGGTAATCCTTATGGCCCTTGGAAGTCCTATTGGCCGTTGGTAATCCTTATGGCCGTTGGTAATCCTAATGCCTGTTGGTAATCCTTATGGCCGTTGGTAATCCTTATGGCCCTTGGAAATCCTTATGGCTTTTGGTAATCCTTATGGCCCTTGGTAATCCTTATGGCCCTTGGAAGTCCTATTGGCCGTTGGTAATCCTTATGGCCGTTGGTAATCCTAATGCCTGTTGGTAATCCTTATGGCCGTTGGTAATCCTTATGGCCCTTGGAAATCCTTATGGCTTTTGGTAATCCTTATGGCCCTTGGTAATCCTTATGGCCCTTGGTAATCCTTATGGCCGTTGGAAATCCTTATGCCGTGGGTAATCCTTCTGCCGTTGGTAATCCTTATGGCCGTTGGTAATTTTTATGGGTGTTGGTAATCCTTATGCCGTAGGTAATCCATATGGCCGTTGGTAATCCTACTGCCTGTTGGTAATCCTTATGGCCGTTGGAAATCCTTATGGCCGTTGGTAATCCTTATGCCGTTGGTAGTCCTTATGCCGTTGGTAATCCTTATGGCCGTTGGTAATTTTTATGGGTGTTGGTAATCCTTATGCCGTAGGTAATCCATATGGCCGTTGGTAATCCTAATGCCTGTTGGTAATCCTTATGGCCGTTGGTAATCCTTATGGCCGTTGGTAATCCTTATGCCGTTG